GCTGGGCCGTGCCAAGGCCGCTGAGAGGCTTCCCTAAGACCTGAGACGACCGTGGAAACACAATAATATTGTGACACCTCAGACAAGTGTAACAGGTAGCGTGTTACCTGGGAGAGTAAGGGCGCCTGAGAGTCTTGTGGGAGGGAGCGGTGGGAATGGAGTTAGGCTGAGAAAAGGGAGGTGGGTGCTTCGAGAGCCCATCGGCACTCCAACCCCATAACCGACTGCAGTGATCAGAAGAGGAAAATCAGAGAAAAAAAAACACAGAAGGCAAAGGGAGGGGAGGAGGCAGACACTCCATTGGAAGCGCCTCTCCCTGGTGCGGCAAGGCCTACCCCGGTCACCTCAACCCTTCACCACTCAGAACCAAGGAACAAACTGCTAGCAAACACTGCTTGCCTCTTCCCCCCCAGTCACGAGGGGCATTCACTTCTCACAATCACGCAGATTCCAGGTCAACATGAGGTTGTGTGTGTCTGCCAGTGTTGGGGCAGATTCAGATAACCCATCAACTGTTTTAGACAGAACCCAGAAGAAATTACAGGACCTCCATCCACATGGGGCCCTGGGGAGCAGGCAGGGCCCCTGCTTGGAGATACACAATTCTAGGGGACCCTCCAGAAAGGGACAATGTGCTTCCTGAGCAATGTCCTTTTCGGGGAGCAGGGCCAGTGCCAAAGGGGGAACCAAAGGGGAAAAAAAGAGTCCAGAATGCAGACTGTCACTTCTACAGACATCATGAAGTGACTCCAAAGGTCCATCAAGTGGCACGGCAGAAGGATGGAAGAAGTGTGTGAAGGGGTGCAGAGTAGCTGGGACGCGAGACAAGGCCCCAGGTCAGAGGCCCTCAGCAGGTCCTACAAGAGGACCTGCAGGTTCCTGTTGCCCCAGGACACAGACACAGTCCCTGCTCCATAAGGAACTTAGGTGTGAGGTTGAGAGGTCACCCAGGTCTCTGCCAGGTGTCATACTGCTCAGACGCATGGGCTCGGGACACACAGGCAGCCCCTCAGGCAGGGGTCTGCTAGTAGCAAGGAGAAAACACCACTAAGGGCAGGAGCACAGTACCCAGAACGCCTGCCAACCTTGATTCCATGGAGAGCCTTGATCCTGACAGGAGCTTGCATACAAACACCACGTGCTGCCCATCACCTATCACTGCTAGGAGACACAGTGCTCATTTGGTGCCAGTGTCCTATTGGGCAACCTGGAGCGGGGACCATCCTATCCTCTCTGTGATATGCTGGCTGATGCCTCTTGAAGCCCTTTTCGATTCACCACCATGTCATGCCGCATAAAAGCCAGCACTCCATGATGCAAGCTGCAGCCCACACATCCCGTCCCCTGAGTCCTGCACACTGCTGGGATGTGCTCTGAGCACACAGCTGCACCCACACATCCCATCCCCCGAGTCCTACACACACTGCTGGGATGTGCTCTGAGCACACGGCTGCACCCACACATCCCGTCCCCCGAGTCCTACACACACTGCTGGGATGTGCTCTGAGCACACGGCTGCACTCACACATCCCGTCCCCTGAGTCCTGCACACTGCTGGGATGTGCTCTGAGCACACGGCTGCACCCACACATCCCGTCCCCCGAGTCCTACACACACTGCTGGGATGTGCTCTGAGCACACGGCTGCACTCACACATCCCATTCCCCGAGTCCTACACACACTGCTGGGATGTGCTCTGAGCACACGGCTGCACCCACACATCCCGTCCCCCGAGTCCTACACACACTGCTGGGATGTACTCTGAGCACACGGCTGCACCCACACATCCCGTCCCCCGAGTCCTACACACACTGCTGGGATGTGCTCTGAGCACACGGCTGCACCCATACATCCCGTCCCCGAAGTCCTAAATACACTGCTGGGATATGCTGCCTAGGCTTTCCCTTTTAGCTGTGCCATTCCTAACATTATGGGGCCAGTGATAAATAGTTCCTCACAGCGACACGCTAAAGAAACTACTAGATCTGCTCATTTTAGAATAGTTTCTTCTTATTAGCACTGGCCAAGAGCAGAAATTTTGAACTAAGAAAAAAAAATCCAAAGAAAAAACCAAAAACCCAACTAAGGCATTCTGATATTCAACATTAGATGAAAAACTTCCCTCAGAGAACTGAGAGCCCAAGCACAGTGGGTGCACAGGGATCTCGCCCTTGCAGAGCACAGCCCGGATGGCTGCAGCCCCCTTAGACAGTTCACTGCCTTGGCATTTCCCTGCTGGGAGGCACGGAGCCCAGCAGATGACATGAGGCCAATCTCCCTCTTGCTAAATGGTTTTGGTGATAAGGAGAAATCAAAGACTGGGCTCCCATTGGCTAGAGTGACCTGGTTATTTACGCACTGAAAAGTGGGCATGTTTTTAAATCTAACTAATGTCTTACACAATAATTTGTCATTGGGATTTTTAATAGAGAAAATAAATCTTTTCATTTCTTCTACTGCTCTGCATTCCTAACAGTAAAAGTTAAGATGATAACAAGCGGGATGAAACGGAGGCCTGGAAAAGTACAAAGCACCTGCTGATTCACAGAGACCTGGGGAGCCGTGACGATATCGTGAAGCCGGTCTGTGGCCTGGGGGACCCTGCCCGCAGCCTTGTGTACTCCTGCAAGCACACAACTGTGCTACTCGCAGCTCAGCGAGTCCTGGCTTCACCATCACAGCCTTCAAGATGGAAAGATGAGATGAGGGCCAGTGTAGCGCGAGCAGATACCTCTCCTGGGTTAGGGCCCCCAAGCAGGAAGGAGGCGTCTGACATCACTGCTCATCAGAGCAGGTTCTCTAACCCAGACACAGAGGCAGGAACAGGGAAAGCCAGGGCCTCAGTCTTTGTGAGTACAGCATTTTCATCAAGCCTCTGTCTCAACTGTCTGGTGACAGCTGACTGAAGTCAGCACGACACAGACAAAATCTGGAGTCCCAACATCACGTCTCTACCCCGCTATGTATTACTCATGACATGCGTGGAAGACTAAATAGAGGCAATATAAACAACAGGATACTGCAGGTGCACAAAAGACTCACACCCCAACTGCAGAGAGCTTTGGGGAAAGGGAAGCCATTCAGGAAGTCTAATCATTTCAAAATCCGACTTCTTAAGCTCCTGCGCTTTGCTATCCTCTGACAGGGAAGTGGCATCCCTGCGTCACCTGTAAGATCTTAGCATCATAACGCTCAGGAGCACAATGACCCCATGGCTGCTCTGGTCTGTGCAGCCATGGGAAGGGATCACCAAAGCCTCCACAGGGAAGGCTCTAGCCAGATGCAAAGTATTACCAAGAGCCCCAGGAAGAGCAGATTCTCCTATGATGTCACTATAGCAGCTTCTGCAGAGAGCATTTGCAGCGTGCCAGAGACAGGTGGGCATACCAAACCAGCCTCACTTCTGGAGCGGTAGTCTGCCTAACTGTGGGAGCACTCATGCCTGGCACTGGCCACTGGGCTGGAAGACTGCTCCAGACTCAGAGCGGGCAGAGCACCAAGCAAATACTGGCATGACTAAGCATGTCATTTGCAGGACAGTTAGTAGGCTTCCTTGTGGGTTCTAGACAAAATAGTTGATAAGGAACCAGAGGGTGCTAAGAACGAGAAGCGCCACAGAGAACACTCTGCACAAACCCTGCATCTCACCCTCTGTCCCAGACTGCAGTTAGAACCCAGATGGGCATGAAGCCTGTGGTCCCCTGCATCCGCCATGCGTTCTGGCATGATGCTTAGTCGAAAGACCTAGAGGCAGGCTGCAAAGACACCCAAGGGCTTCAGCTTCTTGATGTCTGTGAAAGTGAACTTACCTTGGAGACAGTCCTCCGTGGGAGCAGTTTGTGGGTGAGGTCAGGGGGCTGGTCCTGCTGCTGGGGTGCCGGGAGGGCGTGCGGCCCATTGTATTGCTTGGAGAGCCCTAGGGCAAAGGCAGAACAGGTGCTATTACTCACGGGGCTCGGGGAGCAGGCAACAGAAGACAGCACCATTCCTCTGTGGCTCCTTTCAGCCATGTGCATGTGGACAGGTGGTATCTGCCCAGGACAGTTTCTTTCAGAATCCTGAGGGAGATTTCAATCATGCCTAAACCCCAAGTGGCTGCCATGTGGGCATCCTGAACCCCAAGTGGCTGCCATGTGGGCATCCTGAACCCCAAGTGGCTGCCATGCTACTGACAGAGAACAAGGACTCGGGTCCATCTGTGAGAGAGAGCTGGGCTCGCAGAGGTCAAGGCCAGCAGCACAGAGACATCCAAGCATGGCCCCAGCACTCACCACACTAGTGTTGCTGGAATTCTTGAGGTGGTTATGCAGGAGTTTGGTGGCACCATCCTGGAATGTTTTTGGCAAGGCACCAAGTAACATAGTAAATTCAGGAGTGTTCAATTCAAACAGAGAGATGAGCACAATTTGTGCGGCCTAGAAAAAGAACCGAGATCCATTTATATAGCGTACAAGAGCATATCTTGGTCAAAATGTAAATTAAAATTGTCTTAACATTTCTGCATAAATAGATCACTAATAAAAGGGTACTCTGCATGGAAAACAAAACAAAACCATCTGGAGAAATCTGACAATCAAAAACAATCTAAAGCTTGCCTTGTCTCATGCCCCTGCCTGCGATCTGCACAGTACATTACTACTAAATTCTTCTAACTTCTCCTTCCTGTCACGGCATGATGAAGGAGGCTGGAAAGCAGGGACATGGAGCAATTTAATAACTTCTAAGGGTCTAAGATTGTTCCTACACTATCCAGTCAGACCAGACAGGACTCCCAACACTGCTGCGAAGAACACCTGCTTCACCAGGCTGCAGCTTCAGGGACCACTCTGCCTCAGTCCCGGCCTTGTGACTGGGAAATACCAGAGAAAAAAAGAGTTTAAATACATCCGACAACTCCTGCTTTTACATCCAGGAGCTGAGAAGACTTTAGAAAATAAACTAAACTTTGGATGATGCAAATCCGAAGTTTGCTCTTGTTGCGGGCCACATTCCACTTCCTTTACTAGCTAAGCAACGCTCCGCATGACTGCTGGGACAGAACCTGGGTGCCAGCTGGCAGAAAGCTGTCCCAGCAATCAAGCAAGCACACACTAACACATACAGCGCCTCACCGTGACAGCAAGGCCAGGAGAACAGGCATTCAACACCCACAGGCACCTCCCATTATTTCTAAGAGCCAACAAAAAAGACCTCATGAAAAACTTTCTGTGAACACAATAATTTCTTACTCATTTTTTAGCATAAAGTCTTTCTAAAAAGCTGTGATTTTTCAGATTGCCATAATGATTCATCATATTTTTCCATGACAGTGAATATTACATAAAGATGTGGCTGTTGAAAAGTTCTTAGGAAATAGATACCACAAGAGGGCCTGGAATGGCAGCCTAGTGGCTAAAGTCCTCGCCTTGCATGCGCCAGGATCCCATATGGGCACTGGTGCGTAAAAAATCATAAACAAACAAACAAATACATAAATACCAAGATATTCCGATGCATTTACAATGTTGAAATTGACTTTAGGCCCAGTTAGGACAAAACAACTATTTTATTTCTGGAAAAAGAAAAAATAATCTGAAGACACAAATGTCCTTAAAACAAAAATCAATTATGCATAAAAGTATCAACATAGTACTATTGTTGAAAAAAAATACTTTTCAGCATTTCAAAAACATTCATTACACACAGCCTGGAGCAAAAGTGAACTACTTTTCCCCTTAATCTCCAGAGAGTTTGGAACAGCCTGCCCACTCTGATTCAACTACAAGTGGTTAGGAACCTTTGCAACACAGGCAACAATAATGTCATTCAGTACTAATACACACTTAGTACTGAAACATTTTTAACAAACCATCACTGGGAAAATCTACTCCCCACCAAGTTAATGCACTGATGGTCCCTGTGCAGCACGTGAACAATTCTGTAGGAAATCCACTCTGTCTTTCCATTCCATTTTTTTCCAAAGAATTTTTTGAAGTGCCCTCATATATCTGTATGACACAACAAATTTACAAAACCATGCGAAGTAACCTGTGCACTGAAAAAGTACTCCATGTGCTAAGAAAAAAAGCAAAGCACACAGAGAACAAAGCTGCATTACAAGAACATAAGCAAGACAGACGTTTCAGCAGCAGACACACAATCTGTGTCCTCAGACTTGCTCAGCAGCCTAGCAGCTGAAGTCCTCGCCTTACGCATGTCAGGATCCCACCTGGACACCAGTTCTAGTCCCGGCTGCTCCACTTCCCATCCAGCTCCCTGCCTGTGGCCTGGGAAAGCAGTGGAGGACGGCTCACAGCCTTGGGACCCTGCACCCCTGGCACCTGATTTCAGATCAGACCATTATTTCTTCTCAGAATATGTCGTGTTGGAATACTAGTAAGGAAGAAATCAGGAGTATTTTATTACCATCAATAAGATCTCATGAGAGCAGCTCACTGCATGCACGGGGCTGACTGGAAACATGGGTTTAAAAAGGCCTGGAGCACAATTCAGGCTTCATGATGGCCCAAGACATGGAGTGCAGCACGGCTAGCCCCTCTTCACTGCTGTCTCAACAGACCCACTGGGCGGCCAGGCTGCGGACTCCAGGCTCCGTGGACACTGCCCAGTGGACAGGCCCGGAGGGCTCTGGGGGAGGCTGAGCGGTCAGCACTCTGCCTGCTGCTCTCTGAGGACAGCTCCCAGGGCCACAGACCTCTCTCTTCCTAGCAGACAGGACACAAGGGAAGCTTTACCTGCTCAGTGCGTATCAGTAGCTGAGAAATATCTAATGTTTGGGAGGAAAAGCAAAGCATTTTTCTAGTTTATTAAGTATAGATTCTTACTGCTTCCTTGTGATTGTCCTAACTGCCCACCAGCCACAAAGAGGGGTTCTAATTTCAGGCAGTTCTTATCTGCGGTCTCTCCACTGATTACAGTCAAAGTACGACAGCCATTCCTACTCATCATGGCCATTCCACTGGGGAGGGCAGTTAATCCCAAAACACAGCACGACACAAACACGCCAACACACTCACACACTGTCTCCAAAAGCTCTCCAGTGTCTTTGTTACAGCAGACTGGTGTTAGTGACGGACGATGCAGAGGTATGCGGTTTGCAGTTACACACAGCTTTCAATCGACCCGTCTGCCGTACTACAAGTGTCCTTGTGCAGGCCCAGAGCAGATAGATGCTGACCTACTGGGGCGGTGCTCACCTAGGCGACTGCGCTGTAGCATGCACTGGACAGCAGGAAGGCAGGAGGGCTCAGAGCAGCAGCAAGTGCCTCCCTCTCTGTCTGACAGCAGGGAACGCCACTGGGCACACGCCACCGTTAGTGCATCATTTTAACTGTCAGCCATTCACCACGTCCTTCCTTTAGCTACACAGCCCCTCCTGGAAGCAGCTGTAGGCTCACTTCCTGTGTCGAAACAGAAGACTATGCTAGATGCACACCGTTCTCAATGCTAAACCCTCGGAGAGTGACTTCCATGGCTCATTACACACTTGACCGGCTCTAGCCAACAGCCTTTCTGCACTTGCTGGGTTTCTCCTGACACGCCTTCTTCACCGCCCACACTTCTCAAAACTTCTTCATCTGACAAAGGAACCACGTAAACCCCACAGCACTCTCAATCTTCACACACACAATCTGGGATTCTGTCATTACTGCTGCATTTCCCAAATGCTGGGGGAAAATCTGGCACTTTTCCACAAACAACAAAACAGCAAAACTAGAACAATCCTCAAAGGATGACAGCAGGAGCTACAACAGTGTGCAAAGTCACATTCAACTACGACTTTCTGTGCCATATTGCGACAAATCCTGCCACAATACCTGGGAGATCATAACAGGAAGCCGCACCTCTAACAAGGGGCTGACTCACAAGTCACACAGAAGCCAAACTTCACAAAAATGACTCTCTTTCCAGCAGGGGCAATCTGTCACCTTTACAAGCAGACTGCTATTATACAAAGTACATTAAGAAAGGACTAGTGTACTTTTATACAGCTTGGTCAATATAACCATCAGGACGGGTACATTAAGAAAAAAAATTAAGGCACTAAATTGCCTAGGTAAGACCAGTCCCAGTCAATTTTTACATGGCTTTAAGATGAAGACAACTTTAGACTTTACAGCAGAGTGCCATTTTCACAATTTCCAAATATTTTGTTTTAGCACTACATTCATTGAAATAATGCTTCAAACAAACCTCACTGTCTTGGATAATGCAGCTTTATTCTTTGTTACAGCAGCAGCTGTACTTAAAAATTTCCTTTGGATGTTACATGAAAACAAGGCCTGTTACATAAAATTTCATCCGCTGGGGCTGGTGGTGTGGCACAGCATGTTGAGCTGCTGCCTACAGTGCTGGCATCCCCTATGAGTGCTGGTTCAGGTCCAGGTTGCGCCACTTCCAATCCAGCTCCCTGTTTATATGCCCAGAAAAGCAGCAGAAGATGGCCTAGGTCCTTGGGTCCATCCATCCCCAGCCATTACAGCCACTTGGACAGTGAGTCAGAGGATAGATCTCTCTTGGTCTCTCTGTCTCTTTGCAACTGTCTCTCAAATAAACACAATCAAGCTCTAAAACAAAAACAAAATATAAACAAAACCTCGGCCCTGGCCCCAGCCAAGATGAATCTCCAGTGTAACCTGTGATCTTCAGTGTCCAGAACAAAGGAGCAAGTGGCGGGAGGCCCCGCCTCCGCAGTGCTCTGCCCCCACACCTTCCGAGCACTCTGTCCCAATGCTGCCGCTGCTGGAGCGTGTGGAGCTGAGTGCTCACTCAGGCCAGCACAGTCTGCAGGAAAATCCCACCGTGCAAAGCTCTGCCAGCTGAACAGTGCTGGCCCCCAAGCAGCAAGTCTGGAGAGCCAACACTCAGTGTTTGAATCTTTCACACACCTGCTACAACAAAACAGCAATGTCTGATGCCTAGCCCTGGCTGTGTGCCTGAAGAGTCACAGCTCTAGGGAATGCCCCAAGCCAAGAAAACCAAATGCAGAGAGTGCTTTAAAGGCAGCAGGGGCTGCTGCTAAGTACACGGAGCCTGATCATATCTGAGTATTCAGGGGGAGCAGGCAGGTAGGCAGGGCTCCCTATGCAGGTAAGGAAGGAAGGACTTTCCAGGCAGCTAGGGAAGACTGTCGCCAACTCCCTGCAGAGCACTCTGCAGACCCTTCCCTGAGTGAGCACAATCTGGGAACACGACGGCTGACACTCACGACCATTAGCCAGAACCGGGATTCCGCAGAATCCACCAGGCCCCTCCCAGAGCTGACCAAGGGAGGGTTAATTCTCACTGTGCAGACTGATTCCAGCAAATTCCAAGTGAGGGAGACTTCCACACTGGCTTTAACTTCTCACTCATTTCTTTTTAATATTCGTTTATTTGAAAAGCTGCAAGTGAGAGAAAGAGATCTTCCACCCACTGGTTCACTCTCTAGATGGCCACAACAGCCACTTGGCAACAGGACTTGTCAAGGTATATGCCAAGCTTTTGAATTCCTAGCAACCTGGTCCAGAGTATGTCCTAGTCTGTATGTCTACAAGTTTCATCACAGGCAATGGACTCAACTCTGTTCACTAAAAATGATTGAAGAGTAGAAGGATCCCCAATCAAAAAGAACATAATGGCTGGGCTCTACTCTACACCAAGTCAGGAAGATTACCCGGGAAGACAGTCCAGGCCTCCAGATCAATTTAACAGCAGCCAGGCCTGAGAGCTGCTCAAACTCCTCAGAAGGTCGGGACTGTTGTGTTAGGGCAGCAAGGGGAGGGGTTGGGTGGCTCTCACGATGGGGCAAGAGAGAAGCAAGTGCAGCCATCACAGTAACACAACTTTGTGATGTGAGAGTGGATGGCCATTCAACAGCAAATGAACCACGTGGTACCCAACAGTCTAATTTCTAACCCTGCTGGGCTTGAGCTGATATAAACACAAGCTGAGGTCTGCAGTGCCTCCAGCTAGACATCCCTAGAGTGCACTGACTGCAAGCGAGTTCATCTGAGCTCAAGCTCCTGCCCACAGGTTAGGGTACCTTTTTCTGACTTCTAAACTAAACCAACTCACATTGTCTTCCAAATCCCAGATCAGTTAATTAGCTGACTGCTGCCAATGGAAATTCTTTTCATAAATGTTGAGATATTGTACAAAATAATCATGAATCAAAAATAGTTTTATTAGAATAATCCAGGGTTGCTTTAAGAACTTTGGATAACTTAGTTCATTACTAGAGAAAGGATGTGAGAATTAAGCAGGTTGTTCCCTTCCCTCTGAATGCCAGCAGAGGTGGAGCTGAGTGTCTACATGCACTTACCCCTGCCCAGAACCAGGTGGTCCAAGAGCTAGTTCAGGGTCATGAGCTTGGAAGTCATGCTTCCCTGCCCATGTCCTGCCTTCCTACCCACCTGTCACGCTCACCTTCCATCTGCAGCCTGAGAGGGGGTGGTATTGCCTTGCTGTGTAGCCACTCCCCTCTCTAGCCCCCATAGGCCACGACAGGGAGAGGCTCACTCTTGGTCATGCGCTTCCGTCACTCTGGCACTCCCCACACCTGCTTGCTCTCTGGCTTCCAGTGGACAGACTCTGAGGACAGGGAGCCCTTGAACCCCTGTGTGTCTGTATTCCTCACTCTGTTCACTGCTTGGGTGAGTGAGGGAAAGTGGCGATGCTAAGATGCTTTGTATTTCTAATGTGTGAACTATTGGGAGTTGGAGGAGAGGCGAGGCCTAGCAGTAGTGGAATGTGGGCAGAGAAGCCAGGGAAAGCTGAGTGTCTGCAGCTTTGTGAGTGCGTCCAGGTTGTTGGCTGAATGCCTCTTAGTGTAACTTACATTGCTGGGGAAGCTGGGACATAGGGCTTCAGCTTAACAGATGGACTTGAGGGTAATGACCATTTGTTCTTCTTGGGGTTATGACTGACTGGATTGCCATATAGATTTGTGATTTGCTATTTCTAATGGGCCTTGTTATCACCAAGCTTGGTTAATAAAGACTCCTTGATAAACCTGAGACATGCCTGGCGTGATCTTGCTCACCCCCTGCAACAGGAGAGAGAGAGAGAGGGGCCTTCCCTTGCTCGGTCACTCTCATGGTAATGACCATTTGTTCCTTACAGGGTTTCAATTCAGATTAGATTGAACGTGGACTTGGTATTTGCTAATTTCCACTGCGCCCTGCCATTGCCAAGCTTGGTCAGTAAAGAGTCCTTAATCCAGGCACCTGTCTGGCATGATCTCTTTGTATGTTCTCCTTCCCTCGTGTCCCATCAAGGGCAGAGACCTACGCTGATGGAGACGGCTGCAGAAGGAGCATGCAACTGAGGAAAAAAGTGCAAGTGTCATGATTATATAGAAATAACGAAACTCAAGTAGCGTTTAGTCTGAAGGCAGAAGTAACCAGACAGGCTGGTGCAGGGGGCAGAATTGATCCTGTACCAGCTGGCACACACAAGAGCAAGGAGTCTTAGAGGGCTCCTCAACTAGACCCCCTGCTCCATTCCTGACCTCAGGGAAAAACCACAGAGACGTGTGGTCTAACCCCAGAGCACATGTTGCAGGACTGTGCCACTTCAGTTGCTGAGCCTCGTTAAGAATGCAGAGTATACCCAAATGAACGTGAAACTTGACAAGACAGCCAGCTTGTCTCAGCCAACAAACTACTTCAAGTACCACATCAAAAGACGAAAAGGACAGTTTGAACAACACTCCAGGCCAGAATCTCTAACTGACACCTAAGTCTGGGGACACACTGAGGTAGGCAAGAACAGTCAACACCTCTGGTGTACCAGCCAGCGCAACCTCTCAGAACAATCAAGACCACTGAAGTAGGAGCCTTGGACCATCCTTCCCCAACCAGGGCCTCGAACGAGCGCCTCCTCCCAGGGTGCTGATCAGTGTGATGGCCAGAGGAGTGGTGCACTTTCTCTTCTCCCTCCTCGCCCCCACGGATATAGGAGAGAACACGGAAACACTTATCTCAACCACCTTCTTCCTCCATCCAAACTGGAGGCCCACCTATAACCCCTTCACCTTTGAAATAAACATTGAAATAAAAGTTTAAAGAGTACCAGAGGAACGCTTCCAGGTGAGGGGAAAGCCAGCAGCAGCCACAGCAGGAAGCCCAAGCGCACCTGGCGTGCATCAGGGGTGCTGCCACTGACCATGTCAGCACCCTGCTGTGAAGCAGATGACCACCTCACAATGGAAGAACCCTGGCCTGCACCCTCCATGCCACAGGCCTCTCAAAGTTCCATTTCAGAACAAATAGCACTACTCTTGAACATAATAAGAACGATATTTTGCTATCAGTGTTCAGAACGTGAATTCTGTCCCTGCTTTACTTCACTCATCTGTGGATTTCAATCAAAAGTGCTTTTGCTTGTTTTAAAATCAAATGTCCGTTATGCCTTATCACATCTTTCAAGTACATCTCACTGTCAGGCAAATTCTAACCTCAGACCTCGAATTTCACCTTCAAAGCACAGGTTTCAGGTTGATACAAGAAAGATAAGCCTCCTCACAGGCACACTCTGTTCATGTGATAACCCACGTGAGGGAGACGCCAGGGAGAAATATGCACCCACCGCGCACACTGCAGACTTCCTTTCCGGCCTGCGAGCAGGAACCAGGAGAGCAGGGGAGGGCAGGGGACAGAAGAGAGTCCTGGTTTTCACTGAGCAAGTGACAAGCTCTGCATGCGCCTGGGGCAGGAGGGCTTCCAGTTTCTGAACAGCCCTCCTCCTCCCGCAGAAGAACAGCTCCCTCGCACGTACCTTTCTCACGTCTGAACTCTTTGGTTCTGTTGTCCAGGTGATGATTCTAGAAACAGCCAGCCTTGTCTCGCTGGAGTTGATGAAATCTGTTGGATCCATCTGTCTGGCCAGAGACTCAATGTATTTCAGGATTGCAACTTTGACCTGAAAGAGCCAGTACTTATGAGCATTAGGTGCCCGTGATGAGCTTCTGAATGTACTCCTCAACTGGTGGTCAGAGACCGGTCTACTGAGGCAAAATCTCCTTCCTTTCTCCTGGCTCTACGTTTCCACCTAGAGCCACATCCTGCGCCCCACCCGTGCTGCAAAACCAGCCAACAAGGCAGCTCTGCAACTGAGCAGGAGGGCAAGCTCAACCCTGGGACCAGGTCTGTCCCCGATTTTAGGTAATGCCCCGAAGCAGCCTTCTCAGTCATCAAGCTCATGTCTGCTCTAACTTCTCCAGTGACCTCTCATTTTGACCCCAAAGGAAAAGGATTATAATTAGGCCCAGCCTGCAGCTCAAACAAAAGTTAACTATTAAGGGACAGTGAATATGACCATAAACGTCCTCCCTTAAGTTTAGTCCCGTCATTGTAGGACATGTAACAGTTCCTTCTTACATTTTAGCATGTTAATAAGGAAATATGTCAACAAGAATATGTATCTCAATGCAACAAAATATCTTTATTTTTGGCTTAAATGTTATTGTGAGAGCCTAACTCCCCCAAACTGGCGAGGATGAGGCGCGGCAGGAGCCCCGCCCCTCCGGTGACCGCAACAACGCATCTTCCTTTCCCTTTACATGCTAACCCCGTGACTAACCAGCCACCCGCACCTGCGGAGAGCGTACACCTCCTTCCCACCCCCTGCTGAAGAGCTCAAGGCAGCCCTTGGATCGCAGCAGAATATGCGCTCTGTTCGGCAGACGAAGAATGCTTGCTGAAAATCCCATGCACTGACTGCAGGGGCAGGGTGGAACTGCTGACCTCAGATAAGGAAGAAATTTATGATCTCTGACTCAAACAGCCAGGCTATGTCCAGGACGCCTGTGCCTTGGCGTCAGGGTGACTGTGGAAACAGACCCCGGGAACCCACCTAACAATTACCTGAACCCATTAGCTTCCTTTCTCAACTCCCCCATGCCCCTTCTTCCTTTCCAAAGTCATCCTGCTCACCCGAGAATGGGCAGAGGCATTCTGACATGAGGACAGCTGCTGTCCCTCAGGACTCTCGCCCCTCAAATCATACTTTCTCCTTGCATCAACTCTTGGCTCAGGTAACTGGCATCAAGCAGCCTGCACCAAGTTTTAACCTTAAATGCCTACAACCATGTCGGCAGTTTCTAAACAAATCGAACATGTATCTTTCCAATGGACCACTAATTCCTTTACTAGGCTTTAATAATCAAGAAAAATGGGAAGATGTCCACAAAGAGTTGAACAAGAATGCTTACAGCAGATTCATAGCAGCTGACCATGAGTTATGTGTAAAAAAAAAAAAAAAAGGCAAAATTGAGTCCCAGAGGTTTAACTGTAATGACAAATAGTTACTAACCTTGAGGTTTGGAGTTTGAGTTTGATCCACAATAAATCGCATCAAAATGTTAAATTGTTGATCAAATGGAAAGGAATCCCTAGGTTAAAAAAGAGAAATGCTTGTTTTTAAAGAACTTTACTACAAAAAATGGGTAAAATTATGTAATAAAATGCACTGCTGAAGATTTGGAAAGGTAAAAGCTTATGTGATAGATAAATAAATAAATAAATATATATATATATAGTCTGTTCATAATTTAACAGTACAATTCATTTTATAGAATGCTAAACTACTATTCTTTTTATATAGAAGTTTGGAAGCGGAAAAATCTTGCTTAAAGTCCTAAAGCACACATTAAACTTGGAGTAGCTACTTCATAAAGTCAAGACTTGCAACAACCAACTGAGGAGGCAGTCCTTTCTCCATGCCACACTTGGTTCGACCCCACAGGTCTAGGAAGCAATCAAGTGACCCTGAGAGGCCTCAAACCACAGTAGTGCTCCAGCCCTTCCAATGCTGCTATGGCTGTGCTGCCTCCGAACTGCCCAAGTGGGCACACAGCGCCAGCACCTGTCCCCATGGGGCTTCCTCTGCCCAAGTGGGCACACAGCGCCAGCACCTCTCCCCACGGGGCTTCTTCTGCCCAGGAGGGCACACAGTTCCAGCACCCTTCCCCACAGGGCTTCCTCTGCCCAGGCGGGCACTAAGCGCCAGCACCTCTCCCCACGGGGCTTCCTCTGCCCAAGTGGGCACACAGCGCCAGCACCTCTCCCCACGGGGCTTCCTCTGTGAAAGCTCCCAAGCTGCAGGAGAGCAAAAGGAATGAGGGGGGCCACAAGTCCAAATGGGCAAAATGAAGAGGTGATGGCCAGCACACAGGATAGGACAGAAGCTAAGCAAATGACTGTAAGAAAGTGGTACACACGAGGTTCCAGTGTGAATGTCAAAAGGAAACCTGATTGTTAGCATCACTCCCTCCTACAGTTATTTGTACCCAGGTGCACGGCCGGGTCTCCCAAAGGTTAACTCCACAGCACAGCTTGTTTCTCAAAGGTGTAACAGGAAGGGCAATCATGGCCTGATACATTTAGCCCATGGCCTGACTGCAATTTCCCTCCTTCCTGCCTCCCATTCTTGCACGTCCTGACTGCAATTTCCCTCCTTCCTGCTTCCCCTTTTTGCATGTCCTTGGGGGAGCTTAGGTGTTGCTTAACCATTGGGAAGATCCTGGGAGGGGCCAAGCAAACTATATAAGAGAGTTCGACTTTGAATAAAGGCCTCACTTCACAAGAATGAGTCTCAGTGTGTTGTGTGTCTTGTGTGTCCTGTCTGTCTCATAACCCTAGTCCCTCCGCTCGACTCGGGGCTCGGGGTACGTGGCAATGCAGGCGTTGCCAACACCCAGGAAGCTTTGAGGACCAGTTCTGGCAGCAAGACACACTTCAATACGCACACCTGTTGTGACTGGGTTAGCAAGGTACACAGAAAACACCCGTCCTGCCTAGAGTCCGCAGCAAGGGGCGCAGGAAGAACGCATCCTAGCATCCGTGTGCTCAGCTGCCACAGCCCGCCCGACTGGCACCCAGGGTTTCCCAGGCAGAGGAGCAGCAGCTGTCAGCCAGTGCTGCCCTGCTGGATAAGCACCAGCTGAGCAAATCAACAGCAGTTGAGCCGAGAAGGTGGTGGGAATGTCGGCAATACTTCAGGGACTCGGACCAGGTCTACTGAGATTAGGACTGTTCAAACAAAGGGGATCCAGAAAAATCTGCAGGAGTACACCACTGAACTCCTTACCACAGCTAGGAGTACCACCCTAAGAGTCCCACCTTCCCTGAAAATCTGAAATGGAGCTGGTCATTCATAAAGTCACCTAAATCAAATGATGCGAGCCCAAGTCTGGTTACAGCCACTTTATTTGACCCTTGCAGTGATATAAAATGTTCCAAGTCGTGATTTCTGATTTTTAAAAAAGTCTGCTACCAGTGTGGTCACTGGTTGTAGCTTCCAGCTCCCCAGTACTCCCCCTCTCACCCATAGCTCTCATTGCATCTGCTGTGTCCCCCACCCTCAGCCCAGGATAACCAAGCAATCATTGGCACACTGGCAATTACAACACTCCCTAATCTTACTAAATGTAATCATTCAAGGGAAAGGTAGAATTTGGAAGCTTTGTTGCAAATTTAGTAGGCTACTTGGTGTTTAAAGAAAATCAGAAGGAAATTGCTCACGTAACGGAATTCCTTTTTGAATTCAACCCAGGTCTCCCCATGGGTGGTGGGGACCTAGTACTTGGACCATCAGCAGCCATCTCCCAAGAAGACTGTATTAGAAGGAAGCAGGAAGCTGAGCAGGAATGGAACCCAGGTTCTCCAATATGGGACACTCCTGCCCAGTGTGTAAGAGAACTGGACAACAGTGCCAATTACAAGGTCACTGGGGCCAAAACAGACTGGGTCAGGGCCAAAAGCAATCAGCTGGCACACTCGTAAAGAGGAGCCAACACCGTCTGTGAAGTCAGTCTGCGAAGTAGTAGATGCTGCGTGCCAGCAGAGAGAGCCAGAGCAAAAGAGGCATGAGCATCACTCACGCACAGTTGCACCATGGAGAGGGAGGCCAGGCTCATGGGGCAGCAGCAATAGCAGCAAGCAGAGAACTCAGCAGCTGCTGCTCCTCACTGAGACAGTGACTTGCACTCGAAAATTCTACTGGTACCCAGGACTATTCCAGTTTGTAGGAACTGAGTCATTACTTCCTCAGTGACCGGAATCACTCATTTGTTCTTTACACCTCACTGATGTGGCCCACCCCCTCTCACTTCCACCTAATCCCAAGACATTACAATGAAGCGTCTTGTGCCATCTTTTATTTCTATCCTTGTGTGCTGAGGATCTGCATTGCCTGGATGATGACAGCACACTGCCCGCTTTCCCAACATCCCTGAGCCACAACAGCTCAAGGGTCTCACTTGTTGTGAATGAACCAACGGAACTCTGTGTGTAAAGTGGTGGGAATGAGACATCACATGGGAAGAAACTTCTGGCATGACTCACACAAGAGATGAAGGATTAGAAATGATAACGTCTTCAGAAACATGTGAGCAGATATTCTACAAGCTGTCTACGAGCATTTCCAAAGAGAAGAAAATCGATTCTCAAAGATGGATGTGTTTTCAGTTTTTAGGTACTCCACAAACACAATGCCAGCTCAGGGAAAAGGCTCCACCCGAGAACTGGAGGAACACACCAAAGGGTGTGGAACTGCGGAAGAGAGAGATGTTCATGCCAAAGACAGTAACCCTGGGACACAGAAGACCATGTCAAGAAACTAGCCCCGAGACAGCAGGAGCGTCCAATTGCACAGCACTCACCTCGTCACGTCTAGAGCCTTCTGCACTTTGGCTTGCACGGATCCCAGCAAATCTGCTCCCATCTTCTTAAGTAGTTGTGTGAGAAGAACAAAAAGCCAGTCTTGCAAGTCATCCTTATGAATTATTATAAAATCCACTAAAGTCTCCAAAAACATACTGAAAACCTAAACACAAAGGGAAAGCAAATGTTTCACATACACAGCTCGCCACTTCCTCTGGAATCTGCCAAGTACCAGAGGCGCCCCATGCTGGCTCTGTCCCGACCCTCATCCACCAGGTTAACACTGTTAATACTGCTCTCCATTCTGAGAAGCAACGTACCGCAGACGACAGGTGAAGGAAAAAGCACTGGCACTTACTCTCTGTTGGGAATTCCACCGCAAACCAGGCCATGCAATAAAACAAATTCCATGTTAGTGCACAGTCAATTAATACCACGTTCATGCATTTTCTCAATAAAACAAGAAAAACCTGAAAAAACTATAAATTGATAAAAAAAAAATACTCCCTTCCCTCAATATAAGCCTATAAAAGTCAGTACTGAGAAAAATTACTTTTTCTGAGTTTAATCCTGGAATTTTTCTTTGGAGGAAGGAAGGAGACAAAACTAGTAATTACTGTAATTCTAGCTCAGTTTTGTGCACTATCCAGTGTTCAGCAAATACAGGATGAATAATAACCACAACGAAATAGCCCCCAAAGCCTACTCACTGATCAGCTATTTGGATGCTGATATCATGAAGTAATAAAAGATCACCCTCATTCTCACGTGGTCCTGGGCCCCAACTTTGCTGAGGGGACAGAGTCTGCTCTGAACGTGTGTGAAGCAGTTTCAGAGAGAAAAGCAGCACTGCCTTGGAAGTGAGACTTGCTCTTGGGGCAACCCCCCAAGCCCTGCCTCCACGGCTCCACTATAGGTTTCCTGTGAAAGGATGCAGGCCAAGCAGCAGCCAGCCTTAGTGGTGGCATGCTGGCCCGGCTCCCTCGCAGGCAGCTCCAAGTACCAACTACACTAAGACCTCCAGACTCACTGTACAAGAGACTTCTGACGGAAACAAATTTCCTTCTTTGTCCTCACACTCTGCTTCTGAGTCAGCCATCTGGAGGTGACAGGTAATAGAAAAGTCATCAATGCCCACCCACAGCTATGGTATAAACCTTATGCTTTAAATCTTATTTAATACTACCTCAGGAAAAAAATCCTGACAATTGCATGTTTGGACACCTACATGGCCTTTAGGCCCTTTTGGGGACTGACTACTGCTTGTGCTGACCTCCCTGTGAGCGTCAGAACCAGGACTCTGACGCTGGGTGAGCTCTGCTGTCGGGTGCGCTCTGGGGCCTAATCCTGCATGTATCCCTGGGCCAGAGCAGGTGCTCAGCAAATGCTGAGGGAGTAGGGAACGGGTGGGCGGATGGACGGAGAATGAATGGGAGGGAGGGAGAGAGGGAGGAGGTAGGGAGGGACAGATGGATGGATGGGAGGAACGGTGTTTGCTATTTCAAAGACAATGGCTACATGACAGCTAGGCTAGGAGAGGAGGGAAGATGCTGATAACCAACTAGACTACCTGGTCACCACAGGTTTTTTCCTCCCGGCAAGATCAGAAGAGACCACCTTCGCCAGGAAAATGTAGTATAATAACAGTTACATTTGCATATCAGTATTAAAAACTTGCATCTGCAAGATTTAAGTTTCTGCCCATTTCCACACTTTAGGTTCTGTCTTTTATTCACACCTTGCTTTTCCTAAATCTTCACTTATTTCTTTTCTTTGAGAGCATAAACATACCCTAATGGCTTCCCCCTAAAGAATGGTATAGATACAAAAATCTCCCGTCTCAGAGCTGTCCCCTACTCCTGGGTGTTGCTCTGTGAGAAGGGACCCCCTTGTGAAAAAGCGATTCCTTAGTCTGTGCCCCCTTTGGCCCCCAGATGTGCCACCAGCTAGGTAACTGCCACTCAGCAAATTCTAGAGAGCAGCAAATAACCTACTGCTAAAATAATCTCGTCCTACGAGGACAAATTCTCCATGGGATTGAACAGTAATTGCATTACACTGATCTCTCTCACTTTTTAAGTTAATAGAAGGCTAATTCCGAGGCCCTCCAAGGTAAGTCCTACTGAAGAACACTTACTGAAGTACGAGTGTCAAGGACATCTCCATTTCCAAGAATCCCATCTCCACACAAACATACACCATTACTATACTTGCGTTAACATTGGGGGGCTGGCGGTGCACTACTCACTCTTGGGCGGCCTACTCTACAGCTCACATGGACACATACAGGAGGAGGGGAGGGGAGCACCAATCCCACGGACACGTAGACAGGAGGGAGGGGAGGGGAGCACCAATCCAGACTCACCTTGCTGTGAGGGTCAGCAAACATCCGGGTGAAGATTTCACACAGTCTTTTCAACTCTACTCGACTAGAGGAAAGAAAATACAAAAAAATGAATTTTTATAAGCCAATATCACAATTAATTGAAAGGCATATTTTTAGAAAGATTTTATTATTTTATTTCTAACACTGTTTACATAGTTGAGAGGGTCTCTGATTAAGGTCAGGAGGGTCAAGATAGGGAGGAAGGGGGGTGGGACACCTGTGTCTGCAGGGAGGAAGCCGCCCCTTACGTCAAGCTACTTTACCACTAGGGGATAAGGGGACTATCCTGAAAGGCAGATTTTTACAGAAAGATGAGACACAGAGAGGCTCTTTACCCAAATGGCTGCAATGGTCAGATCAAGGCAGTCCAAAGCTGGGAACCAGGAGTATAGGGGCACAAGGCCCGGGGTATCTTCCACTGCTTGTCCAGGCTATGTGCAGGCAGCTGGATGGGAAGTGGAGCAGCTGGGACACAAACAGGTGCCCATATGGGATGCTGGTGTTACAAATGGGGATTCAGCTTGCCACACTGGACCCTACAGTGCACTTTTAAAAATTCAACTCCCTAAGTTTTACATAATTCCTTTTGTCAGCATGATCCCCTCAAGCTCACGTATCAGGACACAGCCAGGAGCCAAATTCCCAACCACAACGGAACGGTAATGGGATCAACTGGCTGCTCTGGATCTTCACCTCCATTCTGTTCAAAGTCCCACAGTCTGCGATCTGTAAGCCTGCTATCTAAGCCCTCTTTTCTGAGCAGTCATACAGTGCTGGGAGCCTGCTCTTCCCACTGCTGTGGGAGCACACAGCACACTGCTCTTGTGTCTGGGTCAACGCACACACTCACACCGACATTCCTGATCCCTTACTGTACTACTGAATCCCACTGTTCCTTCAAAGCTTGACCAAATGGCCTACTCATCCCCCCAAGATACCCCTTGGGAACCCCTCCTTGCAGGTCGGACAGCTGGCCCCATGGCCATTCACCGGTAGCACAGACAGAGCAGCACTGGTCAGCAGCTGCCGAGGGACAAGTGAGCCTACCATTTCATTCAGACCCTGAAGTATCAGACCGTTCGCAGTAATTCCTCTACTCCCCCATGTTTCTAACCTTAACTGCAAACTGTCTGCATTTACTGGACACAGGTAAGCCTAGCAACTCTAGAACACTCGCCAGTTACCTCCAAGCCTCTGAAAGGCTCAGTCATCTGAGCTCCTGCACACCGTGCCAGCGACTGCCACTCAGGGACATGGAGCTCCGAGATGACAGGGCAGACGGGGCACCGCACGCTCCCGGCTCCTTACCTCAGCGTCCTCTGGCTCTTCAGGAGGTTCTGCAGGCCCAGAAGTCCCTCTTTCCTCTCAGACCAGTTTGAGCTAGCACAGTGATTGAGAACCTCTGCCACATCCTCGGTCTGTCGCAGATAATGGGGGATGCCGCCATTCCTGGAGCCGTAGGAGCGCTCAGAGCAAACACTTGAAGCGTCACTGTTGGCATCGTCGTCAGAATACATCCCGTACGGCTCGTATCTCCTCCTCACCGGCTTCTTCTGACAGATCCAAGGACGCACAGGAGTGACGGGGAAGAAATGGAAAGATGTAATGACCATGGGTCAGACCAAGCAAAACCAACAGAGTTCCACGTGAGAAGACACACACTGTCCCTGAGCCTGTACCTTAGAAAACAGAAACAGAAAAGCAGCCTTCCAGCTGATGGAAGACATGCCGAGCACGCACTGCTCAGCGAGGGCAAGGAGCAAGCCTGCGGGAGAGCATGTGCATGCAGTGGTCAGACGGCCCTGGCCCTGCGACTCCAGAAGCGTCCTAACCCTCCTGCCCAGGCGACAGCCACACCTAGACAGGCCCGCCAGGATGGAAAGATCTGTTAACCAGGCTCAACCCCACCATGCTGCAAGTGTACACACCCACCAGCCCACCTCTACTCGAAAACAGCATTTCCTGAGCATGGTCTACGGGTAAGCTTGATAGAATATTCATGTTTCCCTGACAAAAAACTGAAATTGCAATGCCACTGATGGAAGTTTCCTGTGTACCCGGAGGTTTACATTATCTAAACCACTTTTAATAAGGTCTGACAAGTTTTGTAACACAACTAGGATTATTTCAGACTATAATACTTCTCTCAAGTAAGCTGCAAGTTAAACCCAACAATGCTAAAGCAACAGCTATATAAAACTAATAAAATCAAAGCAAAACAGTTCCAGCTTAAAACACACAAGTGCCAATTTTCTAACGATATGGTTTATTGCCATTAATCCCAGCTTGCTTTACACCAATAATTTCAGTCTTATTAATTACACTCCCTTTCATCACTCACAAAAGTGTTTGGATGGTCAACTACATGACCATCTTTTTTATACAAAAATTAGAATTCTAAAATAAGGAAAGTGTAGACTATAAGCACGCATGAAACGACAGTGACACAGGACAGACTGAGTGAGTACAATGTGGCACAGCAAGGAGAAGGAGCAGAGCCTGAGGTGGAAGGGCCTAGTCGGTCACCAACACAGGCGCCACGAGACACAGCAGAACCATCACTCAGACCAGTCTTCCAGACTAAGCTACAGTTCAGGTTGCTTTCATTGGTTTCTAAAAGAAACACACTTGCAACAGAAAAAAAAAGTTATAAAACAAAAATTAAAAGCACTGGTACCTTGCTCCTGGAGTCTCCTAACAGCTGTAGGCAGGAAAATATTGAAGGATGGGGAAAAAGCATAGAGAATTATGTCAGAAGCATATGTGGGGATTGTTCTTGCAACAAAAGTGCACAGCAAAACATCTCTTAGCAAACCAAAAATATAGGTTAGCAAGCGTTCCGTGTCAAGCAAATAATAATAAAGAATGCTTTCCAATGGCATTTCCTAACCCTCCTACTCCTCTCAGGAAACCACCTAAGACTTGCTACAAGTCTTTCTGGCCAAGTGCGGCTGCCAGGGCCCCGAGTACCACCTACTCCTTGTGCCCTCTGTCAATCCCATTCCCATGCCTTCTCTTCAAGGCAGCTCACTCTGAGGGACCCGAGGCTCTGGATAAATGCACCTGGGACAGCTGGAAGCTACCAGAGCAGAAGCGCAAGGAAGAGCTTGATTCGAGCTTCAACCGGGGCTCGCTAGGCCTGTCTTGGCTCGCAGAACTCTACACACAGCCCCTCAGGTGCTTTGTCTCTGAGCAGGGAAGTCCCATGGAAAGCTGGAAGAAACAGTTTCACAGGAGTCTGTTCCAGCTCTTGATTTCAACACCAAAGTCAAGGTTACAGCCATCAGCCTCAACTCTAGAACTTGACAGGAAAAAAAATTCTTTTGACACAGAAGACTGAGCCGGGGACTGTGACAGCAGCAGCCAGCTCCTGAGGGAGACAGAAGGGACAAGAGCTGCTGTCCCTATAGCCTTGGATCATAAAATGTTGAGCACATGGTCTATGGCTGGATTAAAGCACAAAGCTAAAGTCCCTGCCTTGCAGGTGCCGGGATCCCATATGGGCGCCGGTTCTAATCCCAGCAGCTCCACTTCCTATCCAGCTCCCTGCTTGTGGCCTGGGAAAGTAGTCAAGGACAGCCCAAAGCCTTGGGACCCTTAATCTGTGTGGGAGACCTGGAGGAAGTTCCTGGCTCCTGGCATCGGATCAGCTTATCACCAGCCATTGTGGCCACCGGGGGAGTAAAACAGCAGATGGAAGATCTTCTGATCTTCCTCTTTGTATAGCTGACTTGCAAAAATAAATAAACATTTAAAAAAACTTTAAAAAGAACAAGCCTTAAAGCCACAAAAGCACAACAGTGGTAAGGGGCCTGAGCCCTGAGCCTGCAGCAGTGCCATGCTGGAGTCTGTGGTACTCCTAGCGCCAACGCAGCAACTCTGGGCAGCTCTGCCAAGGACTTCTTGCTACAAGCACAATGAATGGAGTTCCCATTCCCCCCCCCCCCCGAGGTTTAGGCACTACATTCTACTGCTGCTTTATATCCTCCAACAATTAACATCAGTATTTAGAATTTCCTTAACTGACAACTTAAGTTCTCATTAAAAATAAGTGAGGCAAAAGAACAAATGCAAGACTTTCAAACCTCAAACTCCATTACTCATGTTACAATCATATTTAGGCTATGCCATCCAAGTTTGTAAAGTAACAAAAGCAACAGAACAGAAATAAGAAAATGCTGGGGGAAACCGTGGTTTAAAAGCAAGAAAACAACAAAACGCAGCAGCCCAGTGGCATCCGGGATGGCCACGTCAGCAAAGCCTCCTGGCCACCGAGGAGCCGCGGAGGAGCGCAGCCAGGGAATGAGATGCTAACACTCTCCGTGAAGTTAGTGCTCACTGTGCACACAGCGGGCACCATCGGGAAGAAGCACCACGAACCATGTACCCAGTGTTCACGCAGCTTTAGGGTGCCCGTGGAGGCTGAGCAGGGATGGGCAGGTGGGGCCTGCGCGCACGCCGCGACCCTTACCAGAGCGTCGGCAACCGCAGCTTCCAGGTCTGTGCTGGTGCTCAGGACGCGCATGGCGCTCACAGAGCCCGGCATTCTTCCCGTCTGGCCAAGTCCATACCGGTCTACGTGAAAAACAAAAGGACGAGATGTGTCACATTAATTCTAATGTCCCCCCCCCTCTCTCGGAAGGGCTCCTGCCTTTCCCCACCATCTAGCTAGACAAGGAAAGACCTTGAGCCCATTCCACTACACTTGACTTGTTTGCCAGTGCTGGAAACTGTTTCTATTCACCACTGTTGGGCCCCATGGCAGTGTATCTTTCAAGTGCTGGAGAACCACATGTGACTATGTGCCGGGGTGCAGAGAGGGGAGCTTTCCCACTGGACGTGTAGTCAGACTAACTAGAAGGCGTCAGGTCTGACACATGTGCTGTGTAATCAAAAGTGAAAATGTCCAACAAAGGGAGTAGCTGGACCTCAGTCCAAATGGTCTTCAAGCCAGTGCTGCTTTGCTGTTATTAATTCAACTGAATTCATTTTTGATATTTAGTGGTCATGATGCCTGTGTCTAGTATTGTTCTGATATCTCCACTGTGGAATGGTCATCCTTTAGACCATTTTAGTACAAATTGTACCTGAGTCCCTCAAATGATTGTTGAATGAGCATCCTTAGGTACATAAACAAAATGGAGAGAGTCCAAAGAATTAAAAACACATTTCAGCCGTTCAAGTGCAAAGGCTGCTAAGAGTGCTTCTGGCCAAGGCCCCTTTCGGCAGTCGGTGGGTAGGCAGTCAGCCTTCCTGAGACCCTGGCCAGCCAAGCCATGGGTGTGACAGGACCAAATGGGCTCTAAGCCACACCACACTACCTATCAATAATGTTAAAAACCTTTGGAAGAACGTTACAATAAAACTAGTTTCTCTATGTTAACAAAAAGGACATTGCTTGAATAAGGAAAACTCTCTCAATTAGCCATAGTTCAGTAACATTTAGAGCAAAGGGGAAGCTACTGAGCTACCATCTATGTGGCCTTCATGTGACCAGATCCTTTCTACAAAATGATACACTTAAAGATTTAGATAAGCACACAGCACCATGGTGAACTTTAACAATAAAGAAGCATTTGACTGTTGGACTATCAAGTTCAATATATTACACCTTTCTCCATCATAGAAAGGGGGGGACTATAAACACCACTAGTTAAACAGTCATGAAATTTTATAAAGAAACAAAAATTGTATGTTATACTACCCCCTTTTTTAATGCATTGGCAGACAAGTTCAGATGCCATGGCAGCCACTGTTTGGAAGGCAACTCCATGTGCCACTCATTAAAAATGACCACAAATGTTCATGTGTATTTATTTATCCACATAGGTATCTGTCAGTTAAAATATAAAACGAGTGTAAATTTGAGACTAACTGCACACACAGTCTTACAGATAAACTCCATTCAAGTCTTTCCATTAAAAAAGGGTAGATAGTAGGGGATTTATGAGTAACAAAATCAAAGTAATTCAGTTATAAGCCATTTAAACATTACCCAGCATAAACTTAAATAAAACAGAGTCTTAAAAAAAAATCAGGTCTCATGCCAGCAATTCTTGCTCCAGGGAAAATGCTGATTTTCCAGACACAAAAGTAAAGCTCTAGGAGCCATGAGGTATTCTGCACACAGCCTTGCCACTCAAGTGACTACAGATCCTAGGGTGTAAACATCAGACAGTGAACCTGAAATCCTCAGGGGAACCCTTGTCTGGATCTGAGCACAACCACAGTTCTGTGCTTTCATCAGAAAGCTGCTGAAATCTGCTCTGCATTCCCCCTGCTCTGACACTGTTCCACAACTGATGGCTCAGAACGCGTCCTCAGCCTGTCCCATCATCTTGCGGGAAAGAACAGAGAAAAATGACTCAGCGACTTGGCATCAGCTGTGACCCACTGGGAATCTGAGTCAGCAGAGTGCACCTTGCTCCCTGGAGAAGCTGTAGCTACTCAGGACGGTGAGAAGCCGAGCAGGAGGTTCCCCTGGCCTCCTGCTGCATGCCCGCGTGCTCGCTGTGCCCCGAAGGGTTCCGGGTTCGCTCATGGAGCTCAGGGGTCTCAGGCTACAAGGCTACCTTTGGCCTGATCTGCTTACCTAACGCCTCATCTATTTTCCTATAAAATGCTTAGGACAATACCCTGATTTTTTGATATCTGAACTTATGTACACCACAGTATAAACCCTGGTGACTGATCTGACACTTAGAACTAACATTAAGTTCAATACTTGATTGGAAGTGATGACCTGGGTAGGGATGACAGCCTCCTTTGCCAGGGAGACCCTATGTGACATCTAGGGCTGGCTGTTCCTTTTCTGGGTGTCTGTTTAGACAGAAACGTGAATACTTCGAAAAACAATGTTATCAAACAGGCTAAAAAGCATCTACAACCTATAAACAGAACTATAAACATTCAACAACTTAAAATAAACAAATAAAAGCACACTGGGTAAAAATATGAGGTTGCAAACATGCCAAGTGCTAGCCGACACAGATGAAAACAAACGTCAACATGGATGTGGAACTAGCACACACGAGGAGGCCGAGTCATGCAGTTAGCACTTGTTCACCTGACTGGCCAACAGATTCAGCAGTGGAGAGAGCACTAGTGGACCTGGAATGACGTCGAGAGGCTGCAGGTAAAAGGAACGGCAACACCCACAGGGTTAACACACAAGTACCACAGGAGAGCCAGGGCTGCTACCAATACGGCCACGTTTTCTCAAGAAAAAAAATGGTGCTGATATGAACGATGGCAGTCGCCAGTCCCCACTCTCCCTGGGAAGCCGGCTGGCTGGGCACAGCTAGCAAGTACAGGGGCACAACAAGGGTACCCTTTGAGGCGCTCAGAGAGAAGCATGTGCCAGCCACCTCGGACTCCAGGCCTGTGGTCACATCATGAAGCTTCTATCAGCCGACATGGAAGAATGCAACATGAGTAATGCCAAGAGCCCCCAAGCACCATTCAAACCCAGAGTGGAACAGCAGTAAGATGAATCACTGACTCAGGTCACAAGATGTTTATCAGAGTGCGAGGCATGTGTGACCATGCACCGAAAACAAAAGCATTGAGGTTCATAATGTCATTTCAACGGAAACAGAATGAAATCACAGGGACAGGGCCCAACAATTCCATTTTCCCTGGTCAAAATGTTTGTTTTTTCTAATGCACAAGTATTCTCATTTGCATGTTTGCTGAACAGTTGGAGATCTGGTCACCCTCAGCTGAATGGTTATTCCTCAGAAGCAGCCCAACACGCAGATGGTGAGCGCCAGGATTCTGCTTTGCTCACCACTATCTCTGGAACACTGGGGTCCTCTTCTGTCAGACGATGCTGACAGTGATGCCCACCTCTTGGGAGTCACTGAGAGGATTAGGAGGTCAGGCAGAGAGCACCTGACACCGTGCCGGGCACAGGCAATCACTGATGGCACGTGGAGAAGTGAGACTCCAGCTCACTAATACACATCAGAGCATCAACCCATGTGCAAGTATTCATAACATGTCTCTTTCCTCATCCACTTGAGAAATGCTAAACTCCGTCCTCAAACAGAGAGGGGCAACCTTTAGAAGTAAGCGTCCAATACAGACGTGGTTCAAAACTTTGATCTACTGTCCACAGTTCTATGCAATCTGAGGCTTTTCTTTATTTCAGGGATAAACAAAGGATAATACTTCCATTCACTACGCTGAAAAATTCATGGTGAGTATACCATTGAAAACCCACAGGTTTAACCAATTAATTGCTGAGCATCGTGACCTGTTACACACCGACATACAGTTTGTCAAGAATAACAAACCCCCAAACTCTTCAGTGTATGATCTTATTTCTTAGGCTCATGTCACTTGATGAAATATCTGGGGTGTATGCAGCAACAAACAGCAGAAATTACCTGGTGATTGAGGATATAGTTTGCTTTTTTAAAAATCAGCCTGTAAAAGGAAAACTCCTCCATTCTTAAGATTCACAAAGATAAACATTAGCTGGCAAGAACTAAAACAGACATTCAAAAATGATCACTACTCTTAAAGATGTGGGTAAAATATTTTCAGACCAAAACAAGTGATACAATTTATTGTACAAACACATCTTGATAATTTAAACAGAAAAGTTTTTAAGCAATACCTGATCTGGAGGGTCCTTAAAAACCAGTCCTTTGGCTCTGTTTCAACAGAATGTTCTAGAGCAAAAGTGTCATGTATTGAGTCCTCTGTTACATTCATGAGTTACACCCATTAACGGAATCCTAGATGGACTCACTTACGCAGAGTCTTGGAGACCCTAATTTCACTCAATCAGTAATGATCGCTGTAAGCATATTAATACATATTCACGCCATTCAAATGATCCAACCTTGTCAGAAAGAGCAAGCTTAAAATCAGTATGAATTCACTTAGACATAATTACCATCACTGCCTTTTCTTATTAAAAAAAAGTGTTGGCTATCTAGGCTCATTCACAGGGTCACTGACACACAGGCTCTGTACTTGGTGGAAAAGGTGGCAAGTGATTAGGGAGTTGAACGGACAAGGACCCTTGAATGGGGGCAGTAAGCTCCGTGCTACGGAAAGCCTCCCCTGAGTCTCCCTGAAGTCCGAAGTGCCACCTGCACCTAGTAGCCCAGAGCACTCTCTGTAGAGTCTCACAGAAGGCAGCTGGCACACCGTCAGAACTACTTTCCAAAGGGGCAGGCTTGATGTCAAACCTGGACTCCAATCCTCGCTTTTCCGCTTGGCAGCATGCTTGGGAAGGTGGCTTCATCTGCCTGACTCTGCCCCAGAGTGACCAGGGACCATCAGGGCCTTGCTTGTGTCTGCTGAACACCCACCTGCAATGGGTACACTGGAGCGTCCCTGCTGCGGGCCACAGCAGCAGGGACACAAACCTCAGGGACACGCTAAACCCAAGGGAAAAGAAGCACAGCTTAGAAGACTCTGCGACTGCCCTGAGCATAACTGGTCCTGCTTTAGGGCGTATACCTTCTGCCCCGCTCTTAGCAATTCTGCACCTTAATACCTTCAGTCACCAAGACAGTGAAACAGATCCACTCAGCCAAAGGCAGTAAGAAACCAGCTGGGCGCAACCGACCACTCCGGGTTCCATTGGGTCCTCATGAATCCAGCACACCTTGCCTGATCACCAGAACTCATGCTGGATTCCAAAGGTTGCTTTTAAGATATCAAAAACATTGGTGCATGCAGAAAGCAGAAATACTGAATTGTTTCCAAGGCAAAATAACAGCTTGACTTGTTTGTTCACATAAGAGGCTGTTGGGAAGGTCCAGTAGTGAGCAAGGGTGGTTAGATACACAGCCTTCATTTACCAACTCGTTCGGATGGAAGCCTGGCACGCAGCATACTGCTCTCGGGCGTCAGGCTGTGGCAGGTCGCGTGCATGCCCCCAGCAGCTTACACCAGCCCTCCCCACAGCATCCCCCTGCTAGCTCAAGGCTGCCTCGCTGGGATCTGGCGTCTGCCTACTCCCACAGCACGAAGGATTGGACAGAAACAAAGCAACTCTGATTTCTGATGCCAACTGGGAAAATAAGATATTAGACAAAGCGCATGGCATTAGCAAGAGAGGCACTGAAGCCAATATGAGGACCTGATGCTTCTGCTTCATATCCCCTTTTGGCAGGGACATTTACACAGACACAGCCCCACATGATACAGATCTACTCTTATTTTACAAGAGGAGAAAACATATCTACATGCCAAAGAACAAAACATTACAAATATAAAGTACCATTTTTCATAAAGGTATGTGATGATGGACACCTTTGGGGATTCATCATTCATACTAGATACAAAGGTAAATTGTATGCCCAAGTTCAAGAAGGCAAACTACAACTCGTGTTTTAAGTAGCAGTTGCCTTGCGCCGGCTTTGCCTTACACTAGGACCTGCCAGACCAACGGGGTTTGCCTGATAGCAAGAGGTTGGAAATAAGAGCACAGCAAGTGGCGCTTGCTTTCTCGAAGAGTGAAACTGGAAGCTGCCAAAACTTGAGCATGCAGAGAGGGACCACAGAGGGTAACTGAGGAAGAGGACGGAGAGAAGAAAGGGCCACAGGACAGCAGAGGGGACAAGCAGGTCATTGCACCCAGCAGTCTCGGACAAGCATTTGGAGCAGGAAAAGAACGCTCTGCTCCTCGGGCCAGCGCCTACGTGTACTCACCGAGTGGAGGAAAGCCCCGAGCAGGGCTTGTATCGCGGCTGCTCTCACGGCTGGTATCGCGGCTGCACCCCTGACTCATGCTGGGTCGAGGGATACGGCTGCTCCGTGCTAGCGTGCAGCATGAGGGTTTCAGAGAAGGTGAACAAGTTTAATGAAGGCAGAAAAACTCACAAAACATCAGTCACATTCGGTTCAGGTAATCACGACATTGCCTGTGCTGGGCACCTGCTCATGCTGTGGCCCACTGACTGCTGTGCCAATAGGAGACAGTGTGGAGAAACCTGATTATGCCCAATGCCTCAGTGAACTGTGACTTGTAGTATGCATGAGAGATTACACTTAAATGTAAGAAACACAAAGGAATCTTTCTTGAGGACAAGCACATCAGAAAACACAGGATCAAAAAAGACTTTCAGAAATAATCAGTTCTACAGTTTTCACAAACTTCTTGGCAAGAAGTCAGAAGACCCAGGTTGTTTTACTGCACACTTGATTCTTAGACAAATAATCCAGATTAATAGAATCAAGGCTTTAGAGGTAGGCATGGTGGTTCCATTGGTTAATCCTTGCCTACAGGTGCTAGCATCCCATATGGGTGCCAGTTCACGTCCTGGCAGCTCCAGTTTCCATCGAGCTCCCAGCTTATGCCCTGGGAAAGCAGTAGAGAACAGCACAAAGGCTTGGGCCCCTGCACCCATGCAGGGAACCCAGAGTAGGCTCCAGCTGTTGTGCCCCCTGGGGAGTGAACCAGCAGATGAAGATCTTTCTCTTTCCTCTATAAATCTAGCCTACTCTTCCAATAAAAATAAATAAATCTTAAAGAAGAAAAAAAGAAAAGAAAAGAAAAGAAAAGAAAAGAAAAGCTCTAGTTCTGGAAGTCCATGAATTAACTAAATGAAAGCAAAGGCTGACTTCTTCCCCCTCACCCTGCCCCAATCAAGGCACAGGGCTGACACCCCTGGGGTGGCTGTCCACTTCCAGGGACAGGTGGGTACATCAAACCACTCAGTCATGAACCAGCAGATGGGAGGCTCAGGGCTGCTCTCATTTATGGACTGGCTCCAGCATGGAATCCTGACCACACAGTGGCACAGATCCTCTTACCCCCACGCCTGCAGCAGCGACATAGGTAACCTCAGTATCCAGGGCAGACAGCACTCCACTGACCTGGGAACAGCTCATTCCTTTAGGATTATCACAGATGGAGTTTTTCACTCTCTCGTTACAAAACAGAGATCACAGGAGAGTCACATGAGCAGCCTAGTGTCTAATGGTAACTTGGCTGAGAAACTTGGAAAGATCATCATGCCTGGCCTCTTAAGAAAACACGGTCCCACACTACCCCAAAACAAGTGTGCATGCTGACTGTGCACCGGGGAGTGTCTGACCCTGACTGCTGGCAGGGATAACTCACATGTTCATCATGAGAGCATCTGCTGCTTTGGCACTAGGCAGAGATGCTGGACATGATAACCTGGATTCCTGGGTGTGGAGGCTTCCCACAGTGAGGTGAGCGCAACACAGCAGAGACCCCACACAGCCACGCCAGATCCAGAGCGGCTAGCCAGTGAGAATCGTGGAGCCGAGCAGGATGCAGAGTGGATACAGAATTCACTTGGCTGTGCTCCATACTGGGACCAAGTCGGGCTTCAGTGAGGATCCACATTCAGCACCACGCAGAAAAGGAAGCGTCAGGCACAGAGATGCAATCCCAGCCCTCGGGCCCCAGGGTTTTGTCAGAGGCTCACAAGAACTGTCTAAACTCTGCTTAATTCGACCAGAAGCAGATCTCACCCAAAGCAGCAGTGACTACCCAGCAATGCTTGACAATACTTTAGGTCCCACAATGAAGGCAGAGCAGTGAGTGCAATCTCCCCCTGCCCACCCAAGGTGTGAGAGCAAGACTGGCCATCCCAAAGGCATCACTACCGCATCCCAGCCTCTGCTCCACGCCAGCTCGCTGGCCTAGCCACTGGCCTCCTACTAGGAAAAGGAGAACAAGAAGACGAGAAAAGTGCTGAGACAATGCACTTGCCCAAGTCCCTCTGGGTTCTTACCGATATGAAATCCTTGTCTCATTTCACTGCTCGCTCCAAAACAAATAGTTAAAAAAAAAAGTTCCGATAGGTTTTTTGTAATGTGACTGTTTTGTTAAGCATTTAAAAATAGTTCTTGTCTGATTAGCTGTAATTTCTGACCCAGCCACGGGTAATACAAGTCACTGTCTGGGATGAGTCTGCTTCAGGGCCACAGACGCGAGCTGAAGCAACATGTCAACTGGGGCTCCAGTCCTGGGCTCCCCTTCCCCTTGCATCGGCTCCCACCCACTCATGGCTAGTGCTAGCTGACAGAGAACTCCTTCTCGTGACCGTTCTGTGACAATCTCCCTGTGACTGCTCCAAACATCACTTAAGTGTATCTACTAGTGATAACCTCTTAAATAAGGGATAATTCAAAACACAAGAGCAAAACCACCTTTACTGACCCTAAAGCCTCAGAACCAATCCTGAAGTCTAAAACCTCAGAACCAACCCTGGAAGTCTGTGAGATGACTTCAAGACTGATTGTTAAAAAAAGGCATTCTTTTGCAATGTACCAAACCAACTTGTTTAATTATTCAGTGCCCAGAGTTCTGCATGAGAATATGTTACAGAGAAGGCAAGGAAAAGAAGACAGAAGCAAAAAGAGACTGGCCAACTCAACTTTGAAAAAACAGCCATTCCTAGGTGGTTACTGAGTCTTCTGCTTAGCCCAAATGCTGGGAAGCCTTGCACAACCATCTGATTGGTTTTCATATCTGGATGGAAATTCCTTTCTATCTTTTTCGTGTTTTAAGGGTAATCCTCACTTTTGCCTTTTCAGGAAGAATCCAGAAAAACTCAAGAGAAGCCAAAGTGTAAGAAGCTGATGCAAACGATTAGAGGGCAGAGATGTGAAACCCCCAACAACAGACATTCTCGCAGTTCAAAGGAGCCATTACTCATATTTTAGTATACTACCATTTTCAGTACATTTTAATCAGAACAATTTAAAATACTCCAATAAATAGCCAAGGTACAATGTAAGATGCAAAAATCTCAAGTGAATTTCTATAAATAATCTTCAATAAATAAATAAATGGAAGAGGGAACCAGGACTCAAATCCATAATACATGTGCTCTACATGCTCACTGTGGTGTGACTGTATCATCATCCTTAACACACACATGTGCTCTACATGCTCACTGTGGGTGTGACTGTATCATCATCCTTAACACACACATGTGCTCTACATGCTCACTGTGGGTGTGACTGTATCATCATCCTTAACACACACATGTGCTCTACATGCTCACTGTGGGTGTGACTGTATCATCATCCTTAACACACACGTGTGCTCTACATGCTCACTGTGGTGTGACTGTATCATCATCCTTAACACACACATGTGTGTACATGCTCACTGTGGTGTGACTGTATCATCATCCTTAACACACACATGTGCTCTACATGCTCACTGTGGGTGTGACTGTATCATCATCCTTAACACACACATGTGCTGTACACGCTCACTGTGGGTGTGACTGTATCATCATCCTTAACACACACATGTGCTCTACATGCTCACTGTGGGTGTGACTGTATCATCATCCTTAACACACACATGTGCTCTACATGCTCACTGTGGGTGTGACTGTATCATCATCCTTAACACACACACATGTGCTCTACATGCTCACTGTGGGTGTGACTGTATCATCATCCTTAACACACACATGTGCTGTACACGCTCACTGTGGGTGTGACTGTATCATCATCCTTAACACACACATGTGTGTACATGCTCACTGTGGGTGTGACTGTATCATCATCCTTAACACACACACATGTGCTGTACACGCTCACTGTGGGTGTGACTGTATCATCATCCTTAACACACACATGTGCTCTACATGCTCACTGTGGTGTGACTGTATCATCATCCTTAACACACACATGTGCTCTACATGCTCACTGTGGGTGTGACTGTATCATCATCCTTAACACACACGTGTGCTCTACATGCTCACTGTGGTGTGACTGTATCATCATCCTTAACACACACATGTGCTCTACATGCTCACTGTGGGTGTGACTGTATCATCATCCTTAACACACACATGTGTGTACATGCTCACTGTGGTGTGACTGTATCATCATCCTTAACACACACATGTGCTCTACATGCTCACTGTGGGTGTGACTGTATCATCATCCTTAACACACACATGTGCTCTACATGCTCACTGTGGGTGTGACTGTATCATCATCCTTAACACACACGTGTGCTCTACATGCTCACTGTGGTGTGACTGTATCATCATCCTTAACACACACATGTGTGTACATGCTCACTGTGGGTGTGACTGTATCATCATCCTTAACACACACATGTGCTCTACATGCTCACTGTGGGTGTGACTGTATCATCATCCTTAACACACACATGTGCTGTACACGCTCACTGTGGTGTGACTGTATCATCATCCTTAACACACACATGTGCTCTACATGCTCACTGTGGTGTGACTGTATCATCATCCTTAACACACACATGTGCTCTACATGCTCACTGTGGGTGTGACTGTATCATCATCCTTAACACACACATGTGCTCTACATGCTCACTGTGGGTGTGACTGTATCATCATCCTTAACACACACATGTGCTCTACATGCTCACTGTGGTGTGACTGTATCATCATCCTTAACACACACATGTGCTCTACATGCTCACTGTGGGTGTGACTGTATCATCATCCTTAATACACACGTGTGCTCTACATGCTCACTGTGGGTGTGACTGTATCATCATCCTTAACACACACGTGTGCTCTACATGCTCACTGTGGGTGTGACTGTATCATCATCCTTAACACACACATGTGTGTACATGCTCACTGTGGGTGTGACTGTATCATCATCCTTAACACACACATGTGCTCTACATGCTCACTGTGGTGTGACTGTATCATCATCCTTAACACACACGTGTGCTCTACATGCTCACTGTGGGTGTGACTGTATCATCATCCTTAACACCCACATGTGTGTACATGCTCACTGTGGTGTGACTGTATCATCATCCTTAACACACACGCGTGCTCTACATGCTCACTGTGGTGTGACTGTATCATCATCCTTAACACACACATGTGCTGTACATGCTCACTGTGGGTGTGACTGTATCATCATCCTTAACACACACATGTGCTCTACATGCTCACTGTGGGTGTGACTGTATCATCATCGTAAACACACATAAACAATTCACAAAGATATTTCCCCGCTTGTCTGGACAGCTTACCAGAGGCAGCAATAGATTTTGTTTCCTTTTTAATGAACAGGTTGACACTTTATATTGCTTATGAACATTTAAATTCAAAGAATTACAGCCTTGGTGTCATTTTTTCAATAATAAATAAGAAAATTCAGTAATGGAATATTATGTCCAACCCAAAAAGAATAGTTCAATCCAATACAACTAAAATTCTTCAGCTATCACTACAACACAAGAAAGTGGTTACGATTACATAAAACATTCTGAAAAATTGCTTCCATCCAATTTAAAAATACTTAGAGACATTTTAAAATATTACATTAATGTTGCCTAACATGAAGCAATTGTTTAGATTCACAGGCATATACTTTACCGGAAGACAACACTGTGTGACTGAAATTAGCTACTCATCCTGTTCCCATGGGGACGGATCCTAGCAGCTCTTCAGGAATGCACAAACACCTCACACTTTTGTACACACGCACTTGTACATTTTATACATTTTTATATATGTGCATTTCCCACCATGTCAAGGACCCACTGTTCTTCAACTATATATATGGCTATATGCATGCCTCAAAGCTCCCTACATAACCAACTCCCCTCACTGAGCACAAAGAAATCACTTGTTTCAAAATGTTTCAAATAAGAGCTCTGTGTTAGGAAGCAGGCTGCTTCATTTTTACTGATATTTCACAACACCTGCTTTAAAAGCTTAGAAATATTTTCATTTTGGTTACACACACCTTGAATTTCCTAATTAATTCAAAGGGAGTTTATTCCCAAACTTCAAAAGAAAGGTAAAACTGACATCTTTATGCAACAGTCAAATCCCTAAATTGAAAACATTTTTGAAAAATAACCTGAGTTTCAAACACATCTTACAAACTTGAAACAGTCACCTAGACAAATGATAGTAGAGAGCTTGCACCTAGACTGAAAATCAAGTGTGCTTTCCAAACCCAGTCAGACTCAGAGACACGTTTCAGCACCAGCGGAGAGGTGCTCTTTTAGCCCCTGCTTACATTCAGAAAATGGGTCAGCTCGCAGGCCTCCCATGCCCGTGCTGCCCCCACAAAGCCCTTCCAGGCAGAATGAACAAAACCACCAAACCCTTTGTCTTCACTTACTATCCACTCGCAGCTTCCTGCCTCCGATCTCTAAAGCTTATCTGAGCCGGTCCCACCGGTCTCTTAGAAACTTCTGTTTGCTGCTCACACATGCGTCTCTCCCAACCTCACTGTGGACTCCCCTCTCCTGGACTCGGCCCCCCGACTGACCTCACTGCCCACTCCTCTCTCCTGGACTCGCCCGACCTCACTGCCCACTCCTCTCTCCTGGACTCGCCCACCCTCACTGCCCACTCCTCTCTCCTGGACTCGCCCACCCTCACTGTGGACTCCTCTCTCCTGGACTCGCCCGACCTCACTGCCCACTCCTCTCTCCTGGACTCGCCCGACCTCACTGCCCACTCCTCTCTCCTGGACTCGCCCACCCTCACTGTGGACTCCTCTCTCCTGGACTCGCCCACCCTCACTGCCCACTCCTCTCTCCTGGACTCGCCCGACCTCACTGCCCACTCCTCTCTCCTGGACTCGCCCGACCTCACTGCCCACTCCTCTCTCCTGGACTCGCCCGACCTCACTGCCCACTCCTCTCTCCTGGACTCGCCCACCCTCACTGTGGACTCCTCTCTCCTGGACTCGCCCACCCTCACTGTGGACTCCTCTCTCCTGGACTCGCCCACCCTCACTGCCCACTCCTCTCTCCTGGACTCGCCCCACCTCACTGCCCACTCCTCTCTCCTGGACTCGCCCCACCTCACTGCCCACTCCTCTCTCCTGGACTCGGCCCACCTCACTGCCCACTCCTCTCTCCTGGACTCGCCCACCCTCACTGTGGACTCCTCTCTCCTGGACTCGCCCGACCTCACTGCCCACTCCTCTCTCCTGGACTCGCCCACCCTCACTGTGGACTCCTCTCTCCTGGACTCGCCCACCCTCACTGTGGACTCCTCTCTCCTGGACTCGCCCACCCTCACTGCCCACTCCTCTCTCCTGGACTCGCCCCACCTCACTGCCCACTCCTCTCTCCTGGACTCGGCCCCCCGACTGACCTCACTGCCCACTCCTCTCCCCTCTACTTGGCTTTGGACTTGAACTTCACCAGAACAGCACCTCCCAGGAGAAAATATGGGAGGAGCGACGCGGCCAGTGGCCTAACGTACTCCTCCTGAGCAGCTCCCTGGATGGCACCCTGTCACAGTCCTTGTCACACTGCCTCATCTTCTACAACTCAGTAGACCCTGAGCTCTTTTAGCCACGCAGGCAAGCTGCACCCTTCAGCTTCTAGTTACCGAGACTAACCCAGCGCCTGGTGCGTCACAGCAGACCTCCCAAGAAGGCCAGCACTTAAGCATAGAACATTCTGACCTCAGAGTGACAGGTTTTCACCATAGGAGTTAGATATAAATGTTAACATCGAGATTGTATCACAGAAGGCTTCTGACTGCTCACACAGTAAAAGGTCTTCAAGCTACTGAGTTCATCCTGACTCCACACACTGTCAGACACTAAACGCTACAACACACGGATCAACGTTTTACATGGACTTTCATTAGTTCCTAGCTTTCTCTGTCAAAAAACGATTAAACATACTCTGACAGTACATTCACCAACTAGGTTAGAGAAAGTCAAAATCAAACTAAAGCAACATTTCTTGTTGAAAATTCACATAGGTTAAAGGCTATTCAATGCTCATCAGTAAATGGAAAATAAAAAGCAACATGGCCTCTAACTGTGAGGGGAGAATCCTGCCAATTCCAACAACCCCAATGCTATGAAGAAATGACCGCTGGGGTAAACGGAAGCCTATGGTGATGTAATTTCTTCCCATCGATTTGAATGTAAATCACCCCTCACATTCACACTTCTCTTTCTAAAAGAAACTTCAACGTGCTGTTAGTTGGGTAAAGCACAGTGGGATTATTTTATCACAGGCAAAGCAACACCCTCCGTGCAAAGCCAGGCCTCTGTTTCCTATGGTAAGCACATTAGGTTACCACCAAAACTGGGATCGAGCTGAGAACAGTGCTCCAAAGTCTGGGGGAATCCTTACCTAATCCGATGCGGTTTGGACTTGTTTCCCGGCTGCATCCCTGACTCCTGGGAATCTTGCTGCGTTTCTCTGAAGATGATGTCACAGGTGGGCCTCTCGAGGAACCCCCAGCAAGTCCACCATAACTGCTTCCCAACAATTTGCCTGGGGAACTCGATCGGCTGCCAGCTAAATACGAAGCAAAACAAAAATGAGGAATAATGGAAATCACAGAATAAATTATAATAAGTTTTAAAAAGCACGTTTTGAACACACTAGCTTGGATCGTGCCCTAAGAAAGTTTTATTTAAAATAGCTTTCTAGCTGCTGGTAGTGTCACGCTCCTAAGAGGTAGGTGCACAATGTAACATGAACAGTAGGCTGAGAACCAACAGCAATCTTCCCGGCTGCGGCACAACTCTAGCAGCAGCCACTAAACGCTGACCGTTTGCGCTAAACCACTCCAGTGCGACTGCTGCTGCAGAAGCAGAAATCAACACCTCACAGAAACGTTGACAGCATTACTTATAGAAAATGGACCTGAGAAAATGTCCTTAATCTAACAAAGGGAAGAGAAAGAAGAGGGGGATTAAAAATAACTAGGTGCTTGGCAAATAAAATAATAACAGACACAATGGTATCAATAATGATGATAAATGTGGCTGAGCTAAATCCATCTATTAAAAGCCTAAAAATTTTAGCTTGATTTAAAAAAGTTTACCAGTGTCAAACAGCATTCCCAAAACATAACAATAGACTAGGGCATTTTAAAAGGTTAAATAAGTATATTTAATATTGATTAATGAATAATTGGCCACAAAGATAATAACTATGAACTCTTATGCCCCAAACAACATACTCTGAAGACAAATAAAAAAGATAAAAATACAGGGAGAAATGAAAACAGTAGTAAGTCCTAACAGATCCTGCAGAAAGAACAACTAGTGAGAAACTAATACACCCCACAAAAACTGACAAAGAAGTCAAAACTGTGCATGTGTGCGCATGTGTAAGCCTAGATGTACACACACAGACACACCTGCACATACAGCGAGTCATGCAGCACATGTAATCTTTAAGTCAATGACGGAGTGCAGATTGAATCATGGACCTGTAACACAACGCTGCAGCTATGTGAATTCACACTCTGGCATTTCTGTGAAGGAAATGGCCTAACAACCCTTTCTCAACATGTACCCCCGTCCCATGATCATGACTGCACACACACAACCACATACAAACGTGTACCTACCAAGAAAAACAACACATGTTCACTTCACCTTCCACATGTATATTAGTAAACCTCAAAGCAAATTCAAAACAATGTGTAACAGTAGAAACTACATGGATAAGTTTGCCTCAGAAAAACAACGAAAGTGAAAAATTAAAAGCAAATAATGAGGCGAGGAAATTCTGCTAATAGCCAGGTATCTAGACATCTATACAACCATTTCTTGTGAAACAAAATTCTCCAAGAAGACAGCAAAATTTTAAGCATTGCACCAATACACTCAAATGGCAGCCAGTTAATCAGACCATGCCCTAGGTAGAAAACGCAATAAATTATAAAAGATGAAGTATATATTATCAGGTACCAGAACCGAATGATCAGAGGAGAAAAAAATTTTTAAAATAACATTGATGCTATAATTATAGTCATATATTAAATGTAAGTAATTTAAAAATACATGTATTATGTATATGGTAAGACAGGCATCATTTAAACGGATCACTTGGGCAACCACTACAAAAATGAGTATCTTAACATGATTTAACTCTAATTTGAGGTGAAAATCATTGTAAAAATAAGCAATGAACTATACCATGAAGAATTTGTCTCACAATATATTAATTTTGCTCATAATTCAAGCATACAAATTACTATGCTACCTAAAAAGGGAAAAAATAAGTCCATTTCAAACTTTAGAATTTGATTAAAAACACTACAGGAAGGTTAACTAAACTCATAATAAAGAGAGAAAGTAATAGTTGCCAGGGAACATGAAGCAAGGGAGAAGGCAGAACAAACAAAAGAAGGGCTTACCACCAGCAGGATTAGCAGATCTGGATCCTGGATTAGGAGAGCAGACCGAAGGACAGGCAAAAAGTGGATTAAAAGACAAATAACACAATACAGAAGGTCAGCATGCAACACAAAGCTTTGTTCACAAACACATTAGCAAGGTAGCTACGTCCGCGCAACCTGCCCCTGGCGCCCTCTCCCTGTGCTCTGTCTACCTCGCTCTCACACTCTTAGCATCAGCTCAGCATCTGTGGGGAGCACGAATGCACCAACATGCCACGCACAGTGCCAGCCTTAGGAGATGCCGACATGGGAGACGAGCCCTGCCCTCTCCCTGTGCTCTGTCTACCTCGCTCTCACACTGTCTTAGCATCAGCTCAGCATCTGTGGGGAGCACGAATGCACCAAGATGCCACGCACAGTGCCAGCCTTAGGAGATGCCGACACGGGAGACGAGCCCTGCCCTCTCCCTGTGCTCTGTCTACCTCGCTCTCACACTGTCTTAGCATCAGCTCAGCATCTGTGGGGAGCACGAATGCACCAACATGCCACACACAGTGCCAGCCTTAGGAGATGCCGACATGGGAGACGAGCCCTGCCCTCTCCCTGTGCTCTGTCTACCTCGCTCTCACACTGTCTTAGCATCAGCTCAGCATCTGTGGGGAGCACGAATGCACCAACATGCCACGCACAGTGCCAGCCTTAGGAGATGCCGACACGGGAGATGAGCCCTGCCCTTCCACACATGGCCTGCTCGCTGGCTTTCAGCAGGCCTGGGTAGGCGATGCTCTCACTGTCACCATCAATGACCACTGATGAACTCTTGCTAACTTGTTTCCTCTGAATTTCCTGACTCCCCTCACTCCTTAAATATGCATAAAATGCACATTAACACAATTTCTAAGTCCAATACTTAAAAAATCTGCTTAGTCTGAGTAAATCTACATCTGTAATATACACATATATGCTTATATTCACCTCTTACGTCATTTTTAAAATTTATTTAATTACAAAAGCATAGGGGTAGGTCTATCAATTTGCTGGTGTTTGATGTGTTGCCGCTCCTTGGAGTATAATTTGGCAAGTAAAGCAAGTTTTCAAAGCGAAGCTTTGAGGTCTTACAGTAGAGAGGAATGAAAACCGCACTTGCTGTTTGGGTTCCTGCTGCCTAGGTGAGGCATCTACATGGAGTTCCTGGCTCCTGACTGGTCGGGCCCAAATTCTGCAGCCATCTGGGGAGCCATGATGGAAGAGCTCCTCACCCTCTCTTCACTCTTTCACACGAACGAAGTTCCAGCCTCTGGCTGCACAGCTGAGGGCTTAGACGCACCCTCTTCTGCTCACTTTATCATGCTGAGCTAGATCCTCAGACTGGCTCGCTGTCAATCGGGAATTCCTCAGCAGTAATGTCAGTAATGTTTGCCTACATATATGAGGTTCTGTAGGGGGCATTTTACCCTTCTCTGTCTCCAGAGATCACTGCTGTGAAATGGAATAGCCAGAGTGGGGTGTTGTTCCCAGGACATAAGCTTCTAGGCTAAGCCTACACGCTGGATCTGCTTGAAACTCCAGCTGAGATCTCCAGTAGAAGGGCGTTCTTATTGTCTACCTCACCAAGTAAACCCACCCCCCACCTTTTTCTTGAATGTTCTTGTGTGGACAGAGATAAACAAGGAAGAAAAGCCAAGGCACTCAGTCTTGGCTAGGACAGGAATCTACCGGACTGAAGCAACACAGCTACAAAATTTGCTTCCAACGTCCCACTGTGCATCCCCCCGTAGGCTCCTTTCTTTCATTACCACTGCTTGTGGGCAGACCAGTCACCCAGCACTGCACTGAATCCAGTGAGTGGACAGTGAAGCCCACACCCACGAGTATCACTCTGCACAGGACCACTGACACCTCCGAAGTTTCCACAGGTTTCCCAGAGACTGGGAACTGTCTGACTCCCCACTCTGCAGGAAGCATGGGACTTTGCTAAGGTGGGTATGAGTTGTTAAGGGGCATGGAGAAACATCTCAACTGAGAAGGGCTGGGAATGCATTTTGAACCCTGGGAGACACCAGGGCGCCTGGCTGCTGACTGGATGCACTCTCCCTGCGCATCCCTGCTGGCTCTCGGGCCGTCAAGCAGGCACTCCTGACAGCTTCGTGCCACATGTGGGCACGGGCAGCCTTCCCCTGCAGCACCCAGCCTGTCCGGTTCTGCTCCACAACATGCGCTCAGAGGCGCAGTGGCCGGCAGCATCCTGAGCGAGCACAGACACAGAAGCAGCAGTCAGGGGAGCAAGGGTGCAGAACAGCACGAAGAGGCGCAGGCCGCCAGTGCTACAACATAGGGTTACAGAGGGACGCCATCGCCAGGTTCACTCAGCTACCACTGTAGACAGCTCAGAAGTAGGCCTCCTGCCCAGACACCGCTTGGCATTTACGTCAGGGGATTCCTGTTTCCTTAGCAACATGGACAGGGGTGATGGCATAGGCGTTCCACCTGCCTCAGCAGCTGGGCAGAGACGGCACCTTAACACTTGGCATTTAGTGACAAAATTTAAACCATCTGCGAAGGAGTCAGGCACAGGTTGCCTGAATGTTCCGTGTTGTAAGCTTACAAAGAGCTGAGAGCTGCACAAAATGGGTGGCTTTTTCCTAAAGTCAATGTAAACGTGGTAAAACATTCAACTGTACAACAGTCTGCTGAGTAACAGTTAAGGTAAGCAAGATATAAAATGTGCTTCTTACGCTGGGACTGGGAAACCACTTTGGCGCGGCTGCGGCCCCGACTGTCAGAGGGCGTGGAGGCGACGTTGGAGGCACTGCCAGAGCTCTGCCGTCTCGTGCGGATCCGACCTGGAGGACACAGCAAGAATAGTGTTTCCGTAACGCTTCCAGCCGAGCACCCTCTAGGGAGACGTGCCGCCCCGGGACTAGGTGTGGACCAGGGCTTCCCCCATGGGCGGCCTGGGCCCTGCAGGTGCACGGGGTCCAGGGACTTCAGCAAGCCAAGGTACAAAGTGAAAGCCTTTCAGCGATAGTTTCACTTGCCCCAGATTAGCTTTCCTTTCGAACTGTCTACTAGTACATCACTCGAAAACAAACAAAAAACCAAACACAGAGAAAGAAAGCATTAGCTGTCATCCTGAGAAAAAATGCTACAGAAAAAGAAGGCAGGAAAAAGCAACACACACAAAACTTCGCTTTTAAGCTCAGCAATCAACCAAAGGAGGACAAGAGCTTTGAGATGTACCAACTGCTTGCTACTCCAGAGCCTGTGGGTCAACAAGACAGCTCCAGAGAATCCAATACCAAGAGGATGGTGCCCTGACGACAGTGCAGGGCTGCAGGCAGTTAAGAAGAGAGCTCACCATGCCAGAAGCGATCTGTCAGTCCCAGCTGTAAAATCATGAAACCATGAGAATAAAAATGACTTCAACCCCGCAGAAAAACCACTGCTCATCAGCCGAAAGCAACCATTTCTGAATAAGGGTTTCTGTGGCTGCAGAAGAGCCCAGCACAACTCGCCCACAGCAGCTCAGAACAGCAATCACCCAGGGAAGACACAAACGTTCTGAACTTCCACTACAATGGTTAAAAATCCCTTCCACCCAAGCATCTGACAAAGCCTGCAGAGAAGTAATGCAGAAAATGAATCCCAAGGTTTGGAAATGGTTCAAGAGTGAGCTAAGGAGCAACAAAAGCAGGCATGACATTTAAAAACAAAGAAAATACAGCGCGCAACTTTGAACAACTAAGGGAAGACTGAGGACCCCCAGGACATTACACAAAGCAACTCTCCCGCAGAGACACAGGGACCGACTCACAGGCCCAGGGTACACGCCTGCTGCAGAGACCTGCTGGCCGCCTGGCCTGTGAGCGCAGATCTTGGCCTTTCATAAGGAAGTTACTGAGACAATCAAAGCGGTCAGCCAGGCAAGGGCAACATTCACAGTTTTGGGCTGTGGGTTTGGTGCCAGGGTGTAGTAAGTAGACTAAGCCGCTGCCTGCAGCCCCAGCGTCCCCTATGGGTGCCAGCTGGTGTCCTGGCTATTCTACTTCTGATCCAGCTCCTGGATCAGCTGCCTGGAAAAAGCAGCAGAGGACAGCCTAAGTCCCTGGGTCTCTGCACTCATGTGGGAGCCCCAGGCTTCTGGCTTCACATGGCTCTGATTCAGTCGTTACAACCATTTCAGGAGTCAACCAGTGAATGGTAGACCTTACTTTTTTTCGTCCCTCCTTCTCTCCATAAATCTGCTTTTCAAATAAAAAATAAATCTCAAAAAAAAAAAAAGTGGGGGCTGGTTAAACTACCACCTCCAGTGCTGGCATCCCATCTGAACGTCAGTTCAAATACCAGCTGCTCTACATACCTGGGCCTCTGCTACCCATGTGGGAGTCCCAGGTGGAGTTCTGGGCTCCAGGCTTTAGACCGACGGGCCCATCCTTTTCCAGTGTGGTCATTTAGGGGGTGAACCAGTGTGTGGCAGATCTCTCTGTGACTCTTTCAAATAAGTACATCTTTTAAAGAAAGAATGAATTTCTTAGTTTAAATTTACTATAAAAATACTTAGGTTAAAGATTTTTAAAGGAATATCTACATTCATTCAACTTAAAAGTAAAAAGTCTTTGTTAACTCCTTGTATTCTCTATCTGTCTGCAACACTTAGTAACACAATTTTCAACTCACTGTTCAGCAAGCCCTTGCATTTTCATAAATGCATTATATATAACCAAAACACCCCCATACAGCTGAGAGGTGAGGACAATTACTGCTAAGAACCTTTTGTCATAAATGTTGAATTGTTGATGCTTTGCACTTTTGAGATTAGAGTTTTCTCCTGAATGTGAACCGCATTAGTCAGTTTTTCGAATGGGAAGCTGGGACTGCAGCTGTGTGGATGTGGCAGCCACACTGCCCTGAGGACACAGCACATTCACAGTGTGTTCTGGCACTGAGGCTGTGCCAGCCACACACATCAGCAAGGCAGCTACTTCCTTCTTGCCAATTCTTGGAGTGGAATTAGCAACTGCTTAACACAACTCATGTGCATAACTATCTGACCAGTGTAGCGATTTTCTGAGTATTTTTCTATTTTAATTGACTTCTTTTTAGTAAGATTGGAGAGGTAACATTTTAACGACTGACTCATGATTGAGGGAATAGTTTTTCACTTCCTGAATTCATTGTTTCTTTTGGAAGTAGAAATATGGGGTTTTCCTGAAATTTGCACAAGTAAATTTTTTCTTTCCTTTTTTTTTTTTTTAAGATTTATTATTGGAAAGACAGATTTCTAGAGAGGAGAGAAAGATCTTCTAACTTCTGATACATTCCTCAGATGGCTGCAACAGTAAGAGCTGATCGGATCTGAAGCCAGGAGCTTCCTCCAGGTCTCCTATATGGGTATAAGTCCCAAGGTTTTGGCTCATTTTCCTCTGCTTTCCCAGGCCACAAGCAGGGAGCTGGATGGGAAGTAGAGCAGCCAGGAGCAGCCATATGGGATGCTGGCGCTTGCAGGCATAGGATGAGGCAACTGATCCATGGCACCAGCCCTGCAAATTTTAATTTTATTTTACAAAGACCTATTTATTTGAGAGGCAGAACTTGGGTGAGAAAGATACTCTTCCACTTACGGCTTCATTCACCAAATTGTCACAGCCGAGCCAGGCTAAAGCCATAAGCCTGGAACTCCAGCTGGGTCTCCAATGTGGGTGCAGTGACCCAAAGACCTAGGCCATTTTCTGAAGCTTTCCTCAGTGCATTAGCTAGGTGCTGGATTGGCTTTAAACTGGAGAACATAAAAGACGCGGTATTGCATCTTCCTTCCGCTGTGTGTTCCTCTCTCTGCCATTATACCTTCTACACAAGTAATGTTAAATAATAATTTATTATATTTTTGTTATGTTAGGTGGAGAAGTGATTCCAGAATGTTTGGAAATCCGAGTCTGGGCAGGTCAACACCTGCCATGATGCGTAACCATGCTCCACATCACAGGCATGCGCAATCCTTCTCTCATTTCCTACACCTAAGATGTACAAAAGCCAGTGCTGTATACCCTGGGCAACCATTTCCCTCGCACAGTTACACTGCCATGTGTTAGTGGCGCTGGGCCGTATCCTGCCAGGGAGCAGTCCATCACATTCCTTCTTTCTCTCCCTCAATTGCCCCTAAATCTAACATTTTGGTGCTGAAACCTGGGAAGTGAGGGATGGCCTCTGACCTGGCCAGCTCTCCAGGTCAGACCCGAGAGCCCCCCCTCCTCCTAATTCCCCTTTCTCCTCAAAGGTCTCTCAGTTTCTGTGGCAAACAGGCTGCAGGGTGACTGCTGAGCGCCCAGCCTCTGTGTACACCTCACCCACCTGGGAAAGCCCCAGCCAGGCTGTCCCACATGGCTAGGCCCGGCCCGCCATCTTGCCTTGTTTTCTCTCTCCCCTTCCTTCCATCCCCCTCTGTCCAAAGGTCTCACATTTGCTCTGCCCATTCGGGAATCGGAGCTGCCACAATCATTTCTTCCAACCCCAACTGGCACTCTCAGTTGTTGTGGACTGCACATGCCACACCAGGTTAACACTTAGTTCTTTTAAACATTTTAAATATAGATTTATAAAAATATTCTGTAGTAGGTCCTTGAGTTTTTCAGGATTCATTCTCTAAGACCATTTCCCTGAAAGGAAGAGTGACAGAGACACAGATATTCCATCTACTGTTTCACTCCCCAAATGGCCACAACTGCCAGGGCTGGGCTGGGCTAAGGCCAAGGGCCAGGAGCTCCAGCCAACGTCCACTGCCTTCCCAGGGCACTAGCAAGGAGCTGGGGCAGAAGAGGAGCCCCAAAATGCCAACCCTGTTGGCTTCCTTCTTTCCCTCTCTGGATGTAGTTCTCATGAAATTCCAGGAACAGGGATCACTTTATTATCTCAACATTTAAAGAAAAAGAAATTCTGGAAAATGAATGGCAGACTGTTAAGAAAGACCAAACTCATGTTACAAGAGATAAAATGGAACTACCTGGAGTGAACATATGCATTTCAAATCACAGTATGAATTAATTACGAGCTTGTACTTGGCTAACTTTAATCTTGCAGAATCTCGGAGAAGTTCAATGAGTGCTGCCAGGCATGTGTAGAGCAACACAGCCAGATTCCTTGATGCTATCAACGTGGGGATCACCAGGCACACCATGGGAAATGGGAACTGAGACCACACCTGGAGCGAGCACAGGGGAGGTACAGACCCTCCGTCTGCATCACCGCTGGCACTGTGCACCTTCCCAAGGATGATGCTGGCCTGGCGCTGCTAACTTGGAAATCTTTCCTTCCTGTCCCAAAAATCATTTCAACACGGTCACCCTGGTTTCAATCCTCTTGCTGGTGTTTAATTTTCCTTAAGTTTTGGAGAATAAAGGTATTCAGCTTCAAGGGCCTTTGCTGTGCTGACCCGGCTGGTCAAGGCAGTCTGTATTTTGTCTCCATGCTACCGAGTTGGCAGTGTTACTTCAAGTGCCTGGCTCTATTGTACAGACGCACAAAGGCTCTGCAGTCCTCAGGAAAAAGAAATTGCACTCTGAGTAACTGAGCCCTGTGTTATGGCCTACTAGGTGACAGAGGAAAGAAAGGGGCTGGTGGCATGGTTTATGAAGCCCATAAGGGCGCCAACTGGGCCCCAGCTGTTCCACTTCTCACCCAGCTCCCTGCTAACGCATCAGGAAATGCAGTGGAGGATGGCCCAAACACTTGGGCCCCTGCACCCACATGAAAGATCCAGAACAATCTCTGGTTCCTGGCTGAAGCCTGGCCCTACCCAGCTCTTGCGGCTATTTGGGCAGTGAACCAATGGATGGGATAGATCTCTCCCTCTTTCTTCTCTTACCTTCTCTCTATAAACTATGACTTTAAAATACATAAATAAGTCTTGAAAAAAATTTAAACAAAGAATAAAGCCAACACAAGGAAAAGACATAAAAATAAGAGAATAATACAATAGGCAAAAACATTCTGGGGCAGGGACAAGAGGTGTATAAACAAACGAATGCAGCTTGTGGAGCCGCAGACCCAAGGAAAACCGGAAACAGAAGAGCAAAGCCTCTTTCGTGGCATCAACAATATCTGCATCTCCAAGTTTCTTCAGTTGGGTTTGCTCAAGGTCCTTTCTCAGCAGGGAGGCCAAGTCTGCACAGGTTAACTTTGAAGATGTGATGTCCGTTTGGGGCGTTGCCTAAAGCAACTACAAAAGCACTGGGTCGTTTCTTGTCACTTGGGGTTTTGTCCTCAAAAGCTCCAATTTGTTGAAAGCAAATTTCTAATTTACGGATATAAAAGTCACAAACATCTACATATGTGTCTCCATCTCATTGCCTCACAATCAAACCAACCTGTAGTGGTAAGTGGCATTTTTCATACACCAAAATTTGAGAACTTCAATATTTATGTCACCCTGCAAACCCCGCCCTTCCACACCTGCCCTTCACCCTGCAAACCCCGCCCTTCCACACCTGCCCTGTGTGTCACCCTGCAAGCCCCGCCCTTCCACACCTGCCCTGCCCATCACCCTGCAAGCCCCGCCCTTCCACACCTGCCCTGCGTGTCACCCTGCAATCCCCACCCTTCCACACCTGCCCTGTGTGTCACCCTGCAAGCCCCGCCCTTCCACACCCTAGCCCTGTGTGTCACCTTGCAAGCCCCGCCCTTCCACACCTGCCCTGTACGTGTCACCCTGCAAGCCCCGCCCTTCCACACCTGCGTGTCACCCTGCAAGCCCCGCCCTTCCACACCTGCCCTGCGTGTCACCCTGCAAGCCCCGCCCTTCCACACCTGCCCTGCGTGTCACCCTGCAATCCCCGCCCTTCCACACCTGCCCTGCCCATCACCCTGCAAGCCCCGCCCTTCCACACCTGCCCTGCCCATCACCCTGCAAGTCCCGCCCTTCCACAACCTAGCCACACCACAGTCCTGAGAGAGGCAGGGCCTGTGCTACTATCTTAACAGAGAAGCTCCTCTACATGTCCATTCTTTTCTATGTAAATGCTTATTTTGCCTGTCCTCATCAAAAATCTGAACAAACTAAGATGGCTATGACTAGAATTTTTTAAAAATGCAAAAATCAGAAAGGGTTTCTTGACACTGTCATAAAAACAACACAGCAGGTTTCTATGCACAATTTCTCTTTCACCATGCTCCACCTTCAGTGTGCAGCATAAACACGGCACCTGACCATGAATGATGACCGAGTGAAAATGAATGGGCATGTGTCACTGATGCAAATGATGGTGATCCTGCATAAATCTGTAGTACCTTGAGGGAAAAGAAAAATATTTTTAAAAATTTCTTTAAGTTTCCTGGTAGAAATCTTTCACCAGCCCTTAATATCTGAATAACTGGCACTGGGATTCGTTTTGAAAATAGGAAGAGTAGATCTTGAGGCCGACACAGCACAAAGGGAAAGAACAGGGCTGAAGCCACGGGGCTGCTACACGTCTGTGCTCCTCTCCAGAGTGGGCCCAGCACTGAAATCACACACAGCACACATCAAGGTCAAAACTCACGAGAACAAAGATTGGACAAGAAAGGGGAGGAGAGCCGAGGGAGAGGCCGGCCAACCTCAGTGGAGACAGAATGAAGGAGGGAGGCGGCGTGCAACACTGCATGCAGGGACCTTTACAGACACGTGGCACTGGGCAACACGCGGTGAGCACAGAGGGTCGGAGAGTGAGACACACCTAGGTCAAGAAACAAACTGCTTACCCTCCGCTTTAGTGGCAGTACCATCTTTAAGCAAATTAAAAAACAAGGGGAGGGATAACAGGGAACAGTTAGTAACAGTCAAAAAACTAAACAAGCAGAATGTTATTAGCTACTCAAAAAGCAAAGCGAGAGTGAAGCGAGTCAGTGTGCCTCGTGGCGAGTTAGCCTGGCACAGGACGAGCAGACGGGCCGGCCTCTAAAGGGCATCCAGGGCAGCCGGTGCTGCTGGCTCCTCCAGGAGGGACAGTGGGGGTGCAGCCTACTCTACAGCGCCCTCCAGCGGCGGCGAGGAGGGAGCGCTGAGAAGCCCACTACAGGTCCAGGAGCAGAAGCTGTTGAGAAATACCTGTGTCCAGGCCTACGTACTCCATGGCTTCCCTCCCGTGTCTGGACTCTAGAAGTTCGGAAAAGGATCATCAGCTTCAATGCGCCTCCTTTGTATGGATTTCTCAGGAGGATCAGGTTATACGTCAGTGGGTCTGGGTGGCAGGAGGTTGGGGGGGGGGGCAAGGGAGAGTTGGTTTTCTTTTGGGACCTGCCAAGGATCGTAGAGGGATTTGGGGACATGGTCAAGCGACTGAACACATCTCTTGTTCTCTGAAGCAGCAGCACTGGGCTAGAAAGCTAGGAGCACCTCTGAAGGGTCCTTTGTTCACCAGATGGAAGGGCTAGGGCTTGACTAGCACAGTGGAAAGTCCACGTGCACAGCCAGCACCACTGGGTGTCCTGAAGGCTGGCTTCCCAGTGTTAGCTGCAGACACTGACGCTGCAGCACCTGAGCTGAAACGGACAGAACTAAGGACCCACAGAAGGAAAGCACTCCTCCCTTGCCCACTGTCACACCATGACACTCCTGCGTGACAAGACAATGGGTAAATACAGAGAGCTACTGGGATTCTTTCTCATCCAAATGTATGTCTAAATTTTTTTCCATGGAGGAAAAAAAAAACAATTAAACAAATTATTCCAGAACACGTTATCTTTCAAAACTTAATAAAGTGCTTCCCACAATCATGCCTTCTTACCACCTTCTCGGATGACAGCTGAGAAGGGACTCTGACATCACTTCCTTTGTCCCCATCACATTTCTAAGAAGGGGCCGTCAGTGCAGGTGACTGACAAGCAGGGAAGAAGACTCAAAGGGCCCAGAGCTCGGAACAGCAGCCCCAGCCCCTGGGGACAGGCGTGTCCTCAAGCCGCTTCCAGCACCCAGGGCTTTCAGAACACTCGCTAGGAAAATGGCTTTGGAACTAGTTTGTAAGCTACCTAAGGAACACCATCTCAGCATTTCACAAAGTTTACATTTTAGGCACTGCTTTAAGATTCAACACGTACCCAATCCAGCTAACCCCCATATTCTGACTTTGAATGATTCAACTCAGAAAAATAAAAGAAATGATCAGCCTTACACAAAGTCAGTAGTGTCTACTGAAAGAATGAGTGACCCACCGCTATGTCACTTATCAAAAACAATTCACATAACTTAAGAAAAAAGGAGCTCGGGGCATTCCTGCGTGCCAGGGTGTGCACCCTCCCAGGTGGCCCTGGGAAGGGTGTCTTCCCATCTCCCCGAGGCCCAGTTTGACTCTGCACATCCTGGTGATGTCCAGGGGACATCTGTCTGCAAGGCAGACCTCTGGTGACCCCTGTTTTGGCAAGTGAGAGGGCTGGCATGGGCTGGCCTTGCCAGGGAGGAAGTGGCAGAGGCGGGCCTGGGGAGGGTGGTGCTCGGAGCTATCCCATACAAATACAAGCACCCACTCCTTTCTGAAAGGTTGGGGACACTCCACAAAGGGACACACCCTGCACACCAGCCCCGCAGCAGGGAGAACAGGGTCCAGGGCGGCTTGAGGATACATGCTGGGTCAGCTGGGGGTAGGGAGCACGGGGTCCGGGGCGGCTTTGGGACACGTGCTGGGTTAGCACATGGGGGCAGCAGGAAAGGGCTGGTTACCTAGTGAGGCATAGGAGCCTGGAGGCAAAGCCGCTGCTGAGCTGAATGGAGTGGCACCTGAAGACGAGGAAACCTTGGATTTGGCACTGGCTGCAGCATTCACATCGATGTCACTTCGTGACCGCTGCAGGGAACCCGTGGTCGACACAGACTTGGTGCTAACTGTGGAAGCTTTGGGGGTGAAGAAGGACATGTGTGAGGACCAGACACAATCAGCACTATTTGCCTTTTCCTGGAAACACAATGAGTGTGAACCAAGACCGCACAGAGCCGACCAACAGCTCCTCCTAGTCACCGCAGACAGAGTTCGGTCAACAGTGAAGGAAACTAAAGGTGCCTTCAACGGAACCCATCTGTTTTCTCATCACCTGAGACTATCAAGGCCAGAAATAGTCACACAATGGCAAACTGCTCTCTGTCTAGCCAGTTTTCTCAGGACTTTAACTCCAAACCTGCCCCTTAAAGGACTCCCCCTCTCCCTCCTCCACTGCACACACACCGCCAGCTGTCTCTCTCTCCCCACCAAGGGACCATGTCCCTCTCCCCTCGCCACTGCACACAGACCGCCAGCTGTCTCTCTCTTCCCACCAAGGGACCACGCCCCTCTCCCCTCGCCACTGCACACACACTGCCAGCTGTCTCTCTCTCCCCACCAAGGGACCACGCCCCTCTCCCCTCGCCACTGCACACACACCGCCAGCTGTCTCTCTCCTTCTCTTGTCATGAGACTGGAGCAGGAGCAGCGCTGCTAGCACTGCCAGGGGGGCCAGAGGCAGCGGGAAGGAAAGGCCCAGGCCCACATCAGCACAGCAGGCCCCGCAGCAGAGGCGCTCTGCTCATACCAGGGAAGGGCTGACAACGACCTTGCATGATGTCGCCTGCAGGCCACAAGGCTCACCTCTCGATGTGGTGCTTCCTGTTGGACTTCTTTTGGCAGACAGTGGCCGGCTACAAATAAGGCACAAATACATCAGCTAACAAATGTGTACTCTACCCACATCAACACCACCACGAAGCACCATGGAAATGATTAGGAAGAATTAGTGCAGAACTGTTCAGACTATAGTCTCAAATCCTGAGTCACTGACAAAGCTCTAGTATTTGTTTGATTTTGGATTTTGATTTCAAGCAGCAAAGAGCAAAATACTAACCTGAAAGAGGGCTAGGATTAGGAATACAGAATGAAGATGCTATGCCAGGTCCTAGGTTTGAAATGCCTTTCCTTTCCAGGCCGTCTCCAGGTCAACACTCAGACCCTCCAGGAGGGCAGTCTGAGGCATCAGTGTAGACAACTTCTACACTACAGTTCATGTAATTGCATTGCAGGACTACTGTAACAAGTGAACTGGAAAGCACTCAGGCCCCTTGGCCCCTGACCCAGCACCCACGTCCACCCTAACCGAGGGACACTGACAGGCACACAGCGCAGGACGCCAGCTGCTGGCAGAGGCAGTCCTTACTTGAGGCTCTCTTGGGAACTGGACGAGGACCGGTCAGAATGAGGCAGTGACACGATGCTGTCGGAATTCTTCAGATGAGACTGCAGAGCTTTCTGGTAGGAGGACTCCAGGCTGTGGTACAAGTGCTCGGCTTCTCTGCTGAAGTGACTGTGGAAGCCCCAGTAGCATCTAGAGAAAACACAGACCACCCCCCGGCTAGGTTCGTGCTCAGGTGGTTGGCTGAGCCCCAGCGCAGTGCAAGGACGCAAGGGAGCAGAGCAGGGGCTGGCACACACTCAGCCCTCCCAGCTCCTGGAGCAGGGCTAAGCAAGCCAGCGCCTCAGCTGCCATTCGAGAACACACCAAGCATCCCTGTAACATCATCAGTTCATCCTGTGTGCAAGGCTTCGTCAGCTCAAAGCAGTGGGAAAAGGCAACATGAGCAGTCCTTATCTGTAAACCGCAAGGGAGGAAGCCCTGAACTCCTGATGGTCACAATCATTCCCAGGAAAAAGACAGAAGGGCAAAGGGCACGCGATGAGCCAAGACCCAGCCGAACAGCTACATGGCCTTGGTAACTCTAGTCCTGAGCGTGGCTCCACCAAGTCCTTTCACAACCCCTGTTCAAGAGGCAGACAGCCAATGCTTGCAGAGCTGTGACCACACGAGGAGAATCCCCTGCACCGGTGACTTTCCTTTTCTTTTGTAAATTGTGTATTTTTCATGATACAGTTCCTTAGGCTCTGGGATTTTCCCCCCATTGTTTTCCCCTATATTGTATCAATACTTCAGTCCCTCAACAACAGTCACAAGTCTATCAGTCTGCTATTTAAGTGTCTCCTGACACTGCAGCTACAGAGAAGGGCAGACAGTCACTTTCACTGGGAGCCCATCTTTTATTCAGAAGCAGAGATGCATGCTGCAATGCATCTCCACACCGTGGCATACTTGCCTACAGTATACAGATCCTCTAGATCAACATATGTATATACATGCTTACCTATGATCTGTTGAGCTCATATTTTGCAGGAAGGTTGCCTTGTATTACAGAGAAAGCCCATTACTTTTTATGGAAAACCAACAAAGCAGCTCTTCATAGAGCTTACGTCACAAGAGAATACTTTAAGTAAAAACATGTTCTGATCTGTGCGGTAACATCTCCCGGGTCTGCTGCCTATATCACACTTTCAAACAAAAAAGTGATATTCTGAAACAGCCTTTGGGGTCACATTGAAAAGCTATAATCAATGAGAAAAGCCTAGGTCACTGTGTGAGTTTTTAAGAAGGCATTTCAAAGGCATGTGAAACATAAATGTAATTAACAAAAACGTGCTGTACAATTAAAACCAACTTACTTTCTGGCTTCTATCCTGGCTTCAGAATCAGCATCATGGATTCCCTTCTTGATTGTTTCTGCTAACACTGATATATGTCTGGTTTAAAAAGAAAGGAAACAGTAACACATCCAAGTCTCCTTTGCATGAAAAGGTGTTCAGAACAGCAGTACGGAACCACACACAACAAGCAGCACCCCAGGGTGCTTCCGGCACCTCAGTTTCTAATCCTGACTCAACAAGTTATACCCCCACCCTACCCTGACCCCACTCTTCATCCTCCCCCAAATCCACCCTGACACAAACCATCCACATCCCAATCCACCCAATCCAACACTTCTTCACCACCCCCAATCGACCCTGACACAACAAGTTATCCTGACCCTCAACCCACTGGGTCTAACCCTTCATCCTCACCTGACCCACCCCGATCCCACACTTCATCCTCACCCCACCCACCCTCCTGCAAGATATGCAGACCCTATTCTTTGGGTGACTTTGGGGGGAATTTGGTCAGGTCATACAAATCCAAATGCAACCATAAAAACTCTTTTTCCAAGGGGATAATTTGTTTCTATGGATATAATGTGAAATAGTAATAATATCTTAAAGTGACTGTAATACAAATCTACAATTAAACCATTTTGCAAAATCACTGAACCACTGTAAAAATAGGTGCTCTCCTCCGTTAGGCTGAACCCTAGCTGAGAACAAATCAGAACCTACTGCATGTTTTACTGCAACGTTTTGACAGGAAAGGACTGACTTGAACAAGTTCTACAAAGGACATCAGCGACCAATTTATTCAAGCACTGCAAGATGATAGTCTCATGCCTTCCGTAGGTATTTAGGAAGCATCTGGTATCAGCAGGCACCAAGACAGAGACTGCAGGAACTCCAAGGACCACATCTGTGCTCCTGTTCCCAGAGTCCTGCTTCCCTTTCTACTGCTCACCAAATATAGATGTGATATCCAAGAGATTAAAGAATGAGAGAGCTTTTGGAGAATCTGACACTGTATTCCTGATTCAAAGTATTCATTCTCTGGAGGAGAGATGAGTTTTACCTCTGACCACCGCTACATGAATTCGATTATTGCTGCTCAAAATCCCACTGCTCTGTCGAATGTTTTATATGCTGCAAAATTCATGAGGGCACAAAACCACCATTACCTACCTTCTCCAGAACAATAGCACCAAAACCCAACAGAACTAAAAATGTTTAGGAGTCTCAAAAATTAACAGAGACATACTTCTTCATCGGGAATTCTGCCACGGGGAGTGGCCAAGTAGCCGTACTTATGGCACGTATGTCCCTATGAGGCCCCAGGAGGGACTCCTGGTTCTAATGCAGACCCTGGGGGACAGTGATAATCATGCAAATATTGGGTTTCTGCCAGCCTTTGAGGCAGCTGGATTGAGTCTCCAGCTCGCAGTCTGCATTCAGCCTCAGCCACTGCAGGCGTCTGGGGAGTGAAGCAGTATATGGGGGCTTCTGGACACACATGTGTTCACTCACTCTCCTTTCTCTCTCACTCTTACTCACAAATAAATAAAACTTTGAAGAAAAATCAAAAAAATTCTGGCATAAGTCCATTTTTCTCCACGATGATGTTGGGTAGTCACTGCATGAACATGAACAAACAGGGAACTGCTGCCTCTCGGATACAGCATCCTTACACGCCCCTTGGGGAATGGGGAATGACTCCCTGTACACTCGGGCAGCTCCCGGGAAGGAAACTGCTGCCTCTCAGGTACAGCATCCTTACACGCCCCTTGGGGAATGGGGAATAACTCCCTGTACACTCGGGCAGCTCCCGGGAAGGAAACTGCTGCCTCTCAGATACAGCATCCTTACACACCCTTTGGGGGATGCAGAATGACTTCCTGTACACTCGGGCAGCTCCTGGGAAGGAAACTGCTGCCTCTCAGATACAGTGTCCTTACACACCCATTGGGGGACGGGGAATGACTCCCTGCACACTCAGGCAGCTCCCGGGTTGTGAGCAGGAGGCAGCATGATCTGGCTTTGCAGTTTCTTGTATTTCAATCCCCAGCACTCATTGAAACCTCCTGCTCGTATGGCATGCTTACACAGTGCATGGCCCGAAAAGTCACACAAATGGCCAGAGATATTCCTTGCTTACAGAAGGCACAATGTGGTTAAAACAGAAAAACAAGTTCCACTCAGCTACTCACCGTTCCAGTGAATGTGTCTGCCACTCTTGTAAAAGCAAGTCTAAAAATTCAAAACAGCGCCTGGAAAGCATTAACAAACACTTACAAAAATGCGCACCAGAGGAAACAAAGCAGCTCTTTCCTTCCTAAGCGACCCAATAACTCTTATTACAACTGGTAACCTTCCTGCAGTTTTCATGAAGAGTTGTATCAGAACTGATACAACTAAGCTTGTACCTATGGCGGGCACAAGGTTAGTTTCCCTTCCATCAGAAACTAGATGTGGGGGCCCGGTGCAGTGGCGCAAGTGGTTAAGGTCCTCGCCTTGCACGCCCGGGATCCCATATGGACGCCAGTTCTACCCCGGCAGCCCCACTTCCCATCCAGCTCCCCGCTTGTGGCCTGGGAAAGCAGTCGAGGACGGCCCAAAGCTTTGGGACCCTGCACCCGCGTGGGAGACCCAGAAAAGGCTCCTGGCTTCGGATCGGCATAGCATCGGCCATTGCGCTCACTTGGGGAGTGAATCATCGGACAGAAGACCTTCCTGTCTCTCCTCTCTGTATATCCGCCTTTCCAATTAAAAAAAAAAAAAAAAAAAGAAACTAGATGTGGGGCCCCAGATGCATTTGGTTCAGTGGTTGAGACACTGCTTGGAACCACTGCATCTCATGTTGGGACACCTGGGTTTGAGTCCCGGCTCTGCTTCCTAGTGGTGTGCACTGCGGCAGGCATGCACAGGGCCCCCGCACACAAACTGCAGCAGGCATGCGCAGGTCCCCGCACACCGCGGAGATTCAGTGCATGCTCTAGACTCCTGCTTTCACTGGCACTCACTGGGTTGCTGTGAGCTCCTGGGGAGCAAACCAGCAGGTGGCAGAGCTGTTGTCTTTTTTCTCTCTCCTTCAATCTCTATCATTTACCTGCCTTTCAAATAAATAAATAAAAACTCAAACAAAAGAAAAATAGGAAACTTGACCCTCATGGGTCAAAACCACTTGAGCAAGACCTTCAGAGCAGGCCTACTTCGGGCAGCTGGGTGGGTGGGAGAATGGGTGGGACTCCTCAGATACATGAAGGAAACAATATGGAAATAATAGTCTTACCCACTTTCCTGAAGCTCTTGAACCTTTCTACCCTAGCTAACTATGTAAAGATTGTCAACAATATAATTAAAAGATGTAAAAAGTTTTTGAAAAAATTGAGCCATATAGCTGGCAACTAAACATGTCAAAAAGTGGAAGGTATAAATTCCATTTTTCATTACTTGTGCTACACACCTGTTCTGAATCTCATGTAACTGTTAACAGGATGGACAGAAATCCAATTCCTAGGTACATGTGCATCTGCAGGAAGTGAAATCAGTGGATAAGGAGACATCTGCACTCCCTCCATGCTCACTGCAGCATTACTTACAGCAGCCAAACCAAGGCAACAACCAAAGAATCCATCAATGGGTGAGTAAAGAAAACACAGTGTGTATTCACTCACACACACACACACACACACACACACCAGTTACTGCTTAGTCTGTTGTTGTGACTGCAGAAAAACCTGAAGGGCACCGTCTTCAGGGAAACAATTCAGGCAGGTCAAGGCAAACACCTCCACCTCTTACCAATGTGTAATTTCAAAAAGCCAAACTAGACAGTGGTGGCTTGGCAACAACAGACTGAGACCCAGGAACTTGCTGCTCAAAGGACACAGCATCGGTTAGAAGGGCATAAGACATTCCAGAACTCTCCCATATGTCAGGGACCATCATTGCAGTACCTTGTGTACGTGAGAACTGCCAACAACAGACTCCAAGTGTCCTTACCACCGGAACGCCAAGAAGCAATGGACACTTTAAGTTGCCTGACACAGCCATTCTGTACACATACAGCAAACAGCATGTTGCACACTATACAGGAGTACCTATTAGATACTATATTATCATTTAAAAATAAATTTTTAGAAAATAAAAATTTGCTTGCCAATAGCACCCTGCAAAGCTCCTAATACAATCCACTGAAAACCTACACAAAACTCTGGTGCATTTCACATTTCATTGGGCTGAGGGTCCACGGATCTTAACAGACTCTTAAAAGATCCTATGGGCTCAACGGCCAAGCATCCCAGATCTTCACTAGGACTTGATTCTCCACATGCAGCCCTGGGAGCCGAGCCGAATGCAGCAACAGCAAGGATGTGGGAACAGCATGGGCTAGCTACCCAGGTTGTACCTTCCTGAGGATCTTACAGGTGGCTCCTGTAACTGCACAGCAGGAAAGGATGACTCTGAGAAGACTCCAACAGCACTCCACCCTCTGCCTACATGAACAGAGACTCACTACCACGGACACCTGTGCACAAAGTTCCCGCCTTCACCCAGGGGACAGGGCAAAGGACAGAGAAGTGCACCTGCTCCTCTCCCCTTCTTGACCTGCAACTGCCCCCTGATGTGCACGCACGCACACACACGTGCACAAATAGAAGAAGCTGTTGCAACTAGCTCTCCAAAATACTGTGCTCTTGATCCTTCAACACAGAAGTGCTGACTGAAGAGGACTCACAAAATAAAAAACCTTCAAATATGAAATGTTAGTCATGGGTGTACATCTCAAATTCTTTTTCCTTTGTAAATAATTGTAAAAGAACAAGGAAATCACTGGGAATTTACCTTCTGACTGCAACCGACTTAGAGGTACAGTTGCTTGTTATGACAGGTATTAGCCTAGGGATATGTGTATGCTGTGAAGAAGAAGGAAAAAACACTTTGTTAATATTTGAAAACCCAAATATTTGCAAAAACAAGAGAACAACTTCCTTACTAACCTACTTATCACAGAACACGTTGAATATAAACACTGACTTTAAAAAGAAAAAAGGGTAAAACAAATAAATCATAAAAAAAAGGATACAATGGATATTCTAGAGGCCTTTATGAAGTTTACAAGACTGGACAAGACAATGGGACAAGGAGTCATCAAACCAACACATTACAATAATGCTTCAATGGGATGTCTAACAATAGCGTTGGGTCTGACTATCTGAAGTAGGCAGTAAAGGAATAAGGACTAAAAATTACACGATGTAATTAGATTTTCCCATCTTAGGTTCCTCAAGCACTGACGTTAAGCGCTTTCTCTGTGGAAAAAGCACCTGAAGGTGTAGAGAGGGCAACACAGAAAACACTGGTGAAGCTCTTATGGACTAATAGATTTCACTGGAAATTTGTATATATATTACTCAGGTCATTATTTCCATTTAAATAGGTTAATACCCAGAAAGCTAAAGTGAACATTTTGTTTCTAAGCCTATATGTAATTAGTCAAACTCTGGGGTGAATGCAAACTATAAGCACGAACTCGTCAAACGGAATGACTGCAGTTAGCAGGGAGTTAGGCAGTGACATAAGAGAAACAAACTCAGAGGCAGAGGCTCAAACATTCAAAGCCAACAGCGAGGGCCAGACATGCAGCCTACTCGTGAAAGCTGATGTCCCACACTGCAATGCCTGGGTTCAACTCTCAGCTCCACTCTCAAGTCCAGCTTCCTGCTAATATAGATTCTGGGAAGTAGAACTGACACTGACAGCCCAAGTGACTGGGACCCCGATAACCATGTGGGACACCCAGGTCCCCAGCCTGGGGCCACTGCACGCTTTTCGGGGAATCAACAAGTAGACAGGAGCCCATTCTGTGTCCATCTCTGCCTGCTTCTCTACTCATTAACCAGCAATGACTCACCCATCAACACCTCAATGACCACACGCCATACACTTGTTTACCATGAGAGACTACAAAAAGCTCACATGCTCTGTATACAATCCAATGGAGAAAAGATAATTCTGTAAGTATAACATGATTCCCAATTCAAATAATCACTCCAGTGCAAACTGCCTCTAATCTTGCTTGCCAGCCACTGGTAAGAAAGCATGGGTCGGCCACTAAATCAGGGGCCCTAGAACACACTTACCCGGATGATTAACCTAACAGCTACAACACCAGACGTGGCCATAATTTTGGCACTGTTTGGAATTAAATTAAAGATGGTTGGCATAATGGCTTCAGCTCCATGATCAAACTTGTTCCCCAGAACTGATGACAGATGCCTGCAAAAAGACGTGAACGCTGGGCTGTAGTTACTGTGTGTCTTACAAATTACAAGCACATAAATCAGTGGCTTAGAGCTTTCATTAAGGCTACCCAGGGAAACACCAACAGTCTAAGTACAATACTTTAATAAAAATATGTCCAATGGACAAGCAGAGAGCTCGGCAAATAGCCATTAGCACAAGTTTTCCCTTCATCATTTACAACAGTTTCAAAACAGGAAAAAAAATCGATTATATACTATGAAAACATGAGCAGGAAAAGGCTCCCTTCCCCATGCCTTGCACTTTTAGCATCGGATACTCAGACTCCCCATCTGACTAACAGCTCGCTGCCTTCTTGCTGCGGCTGCTTTGATACCAGGCATACATTCTAACACAGTGTCAGCCCCGCACAAAAGTTGAGCTAGGATAAAATGTCACTGAGGGACACCCCACTAGTTAATAACTTTGGTATTATTCTAGGGACAAATATTCTGATAAGCATGCTATATCCTCCCAGCAAAAAACAAGTTAAAACAATGAAAAACGACTTTACATACTTTCATTTCTCCTTAGTAATACATGCTTCAAGTTTAAAACAGAGGCTGCAGAGCTATGCCACTGAATAAAACAAAGCTTAAAATCAGTCCTTTAGACAGCTGGGCACTGGCAGAGCGCCAACGGGCCTGGGTCTTGGAGACTAGTTTGCCCGCTTGGGAGCCGCCTCTGAAGCTCGGGGTGGGACTACCGAGTGGTGAGTGAGATCGCGGAGCATGGCAGTTCTTACCCCAGCGTGATACAAGCCTCCCGCACTACCTGAGACCGCAGGTCCTTAGCAGAGAGCTTAAACGCTCCATCCAAAAGACGCAAATGTTGAAAGAAGTTATCATACTCAGCAGCACCAGCCAAAAGTAAAGATCTGATCTTTTTTAACTGATGGGATAGAGGAAATTAGAGATATAAAACCTTCACAATTCTTAACATAATATATACAAAACAGACACCACCAAACATCACAGTTCAATTGACATAGCAAGACTTCTCCTAAGAGAATCTATGCAGTTAAATATTAGCTAACAGACTGCACACATTTATACAGCGCAAGACCAAGTAATTTTTAGTAAGGTAGTATTGGTGATAAATACAATTTCTACAAAAGGTTTTAAATTAGAAATGTCTAATTGATTAACTTCATGAAAATGACAAATAACTAAAAACCTCCATTTTGCTCTAATATATACCTCTCTTAACCTTACATTCTCCCTTCTCCAATTCCAAGGAGAAGCATCCTTACATCACTTCTAATAACATCCTCAACTGGTCGACTGGTGGGGCTGACTGTGAAATGGAACACAGTGGCAATGCCACCAGCCCTCTTCTTGACAGCCAGCACACAGGGGACCACTTTCCTGAGATAAGCCATCCTCCTCATGACACTCAGCCTACTTACTCTCATTAACACATTAAAGCAGAGGAGACAAAACCTTCCAGCAAGTTGACAGCAAGAAAGCAAAGCCTACTGAGAGCCATATACTGGGAACACTACTACACAAGGCGCTTGCCTGGCAATCGCACAACTAAATCACTTCTGCTTCAGGCGAGAGCAGAAGACATCAGCAGCTGTTCCAGTCAGGTCTTGGTTTAACGGCAAAGTGGAAAAACAGGGATTGACATTTAAAATATCTGCCACCTAAAATGCACTAGGAACAGCCTCTTGTTTCCTAAGCAAGTATCTGCAGAACTTGGACGCAGCTAGGAAACGTAACGGAGGAAGGTAGTGGCTTACAGCATTCACCCGCTGCTCCCAGTCATGCTTGTCATCAGATAAGATTTCCCTAATTTTGTTTATGGATTCCTCAAGGTCTCGGCTGGAGTAAATCTGCAAGCAAAATCAAGCTGTGATCAGTATTAGAAAATGAACAGAATAAACAAACACTGTTTTTTTACTATGAGGAGTCAAGAATTATTAGTCAGTTAAAAAATGCTTTTATTAAAAAAAAATTGAAACAAATGAAGGCATCAGAACAACATATCAAAATTTAAGGGACACAGTTAAGGCAGTGCAAGAGGAGAGTTCATTTCGATCAGTGCTTAGGTCGAGAAATTAGGAAAGCACCATGGAAACAGGCTAACCTTACGTCTGAAGGAGCTAGAAAAACAGCAAAACAATCCCAAGATTAGCAGGACAAAAGAAATCATCAAAATAAGGGAGGAAATTAACCAAAAGGAGATGAAAAGAATAGTATATAAGATCAACAAATCAAAGAGCTGGTTCTCTGAGGAAACTGACAAAATAGTCTCCAACTAATCACAGAAAGGAGGGAGAAGATACAAATCAACAGAATTAGGGACGAAAAAGGAAATATAACAACAGATACCTTGAACATATACAGATAATCAGGAACTACTACAAGCAACTATACGCCAACAAATCAGAAGACCTAGAAAACACAGATAGATTTTTGGACACATATAACCTACCAAAATTGAATCATGAGGCAATTAATAATCTAAATTGTCCTATAACCAGGACAGAGATTGAACCATTAACTAAATTCCTCTCAATAAAGAAAAGCCCTCACCAGATGGTTTCATTGTAGAATTCTACCAAAGGTTTCAACAATTTACCATAATCCTCCACAAGCTATTCAAAGCAATAGAAACGGAGGCAAAATCCTTCTACAAAGCCAACATCACCTCAACACCAAAGCCATCTAGATACCCAGGATGAACACAGATGCAAAAACTAACCCACAGGATCCAATAGCACATCAGATAGATCATTCACGAGGACCAAGTGGGATTTACCCTGGGACGCAGGGATGGGTTAATACACACAAGTCAACAAATGTAACACCCCACCTCAACACAGTGAAAAATAAAAGCCAGATGAACATGTCAACAGATGCAGAAGGCATTTGATAAAACCCAATGCCACTTCATGCTAAAAACCCTAATTAATACAGGTCTAGAGGGAATTTTCCACAACACAATCAAAGCAATATACAAAAAATCCAATGTCAGCATCATACTAAATGGGGAAAATCTAGAACTAGACAAGGCTGTCCACTTTCATCACTGCTATATAACATAGTAATGGAAGTCCTCACTAGAGCAAAACAAACAAAAAAAAAAAAAAAAAGAAAGGAATTCAAATAGGAAACAAGGAATCAAAATTATCCTTGTTCACAAACAACTTGATTCTCTACATAGGAGAGCCAAAAGACTCAATCAAGCGACTACTGGAACTCATAACAGAGTTTCGCAGGGGAGCAGGATACAAAATTAATGAACACAAATTGATGATCCAGTATACCAACTCTACGGCTGAGCAAGAACTTGTAAGTACGGTCCCCTTTAAAATAGCAGAGAAGGGCCCAGTGCGATGGCACAGGAACTAAATCCTCACTTTGCAAGAGCCAGGATCCCACTAGGCAATGCTTTGTTTCTCAGCTGCCCTGCTTCCCATCCAGCTTCCTGCTTGAGGCCTGGGAAAGCAGTAGAGGGTGACCCAAAGCCTTGGGACCCTGCATTCGCATGGGAGATCTGAAAGAAGCTCCTGGTTTTGGCTTCAGGTCAGTTCAGTCCCAGCCATTCACTCAAGGAGTGAAGCAGATGATAGAAAAACTTTGTCCCTCCTTTCCTTCATAATTCTGATATGCCTTTTCAATAAAAAATCCTTAAAAATTAAAAATAATTAAATAACAGAGAAGAATCTTAAACTGCTTGGATAAACCTAAAGATGTGTAACATCTCTATGATAAAAATTACAAAACATTGAAAAAAGAAATATAAGAAGACATTAAAAGATGGAGAACTTTACCATGTTCCTGGATCAGCAGCATCAAAATGTCCATATTACCAAAAGAGATATATAGATGCAATGCGATCCCAACCAAAATCCCCACAACATTGTTCTCAGAAACAGAAATGATGACACAAAGATTCATTTAGAAACACAAGGGACCACGAATAGCCAAAGTTATTCTTAAGAATAAAAACTAAGCTGAAGGAATCACAATTACAGACCTCAAAACATACCACAGAGCAGTGATAACCTAAACAGTCTGGACTGGTACAGAAACAGAGAAGATCAATGGAATAGAAACACCAGAAGTCAACTAACACATGCTACTAACCTTCGACAAGGTAACTGAAAATAACCCAGGGAAAAAGGCTGGTCTCTTTAACAAATGCTTTGGGACAATTAGAGAGCAGCCTGCAAAAAAGAAGCAGCTTACACAAAAATATGCTCTAATGGAACAAGGACCAAAAGCTGCATCCAGAAACCATCCATCTACTAAAGGAAATCACTATTAGAAAGCACTCTGCAAGACACATGCATTGCGAAAGACTTCTAAGAAAGTCATCAAAAGCACAGGCCGTCAAAACAAGAGACACAAGTGGAACTACACCAAGCAAAGGAAATGAGCAACAAAGTGCAGAAGCAACCAAAGAATGGGAGAGAATCTTGGCACACTACACGCCAATATCCAGGATTTACAAAGAGCTTCAGATACTCAGTGACAGCAAAACGAACAACTCTATGAAGAAATGGGCAGACATTTTTCAAAAGAACAAATCCAAATAGCTAACAGACATATGAAAAGATGCTTAGGCTCCCTAACTATACTGAAATTCACCTAACTCTAAGCAGATTGGCCTACATTCAGAACTCTACTAACAACACCTGCCAATATAGATGTGGAGAAAAAGGCACCCTCCTTCCCTGTGGGTGGGATGGTGGGATAGTACTACCACTATGGAAATCAGTATGGAGAGTGCTAGGAGAACTGAAAATAAACCCGCCATGACCCCACTATCCCATTCCTAGGAATAGACCCAAAGGAAGTACAGACATGAGAAAGGGATCAGCAATCCTGCTTATGGCAGCACAACCTACAGTAGCAAACAACCTAGATGCCCGTCCAACGAGGAGTGAACAAAGAAACTGTAGTACATCTACCCTATGCTATACTACTCAGCCTTTAAAAGGAATAAAAGTTTACCATTTGCAATCAAATGGTCCCAACTAGAGACCATTATGCTCAGTGAAAAAAGGCAATCTCAAAAGGACAAATATGTTTTCTGATATAAGGCAACCTTCATGCAAAATACAAGATCAATAGACAATAAGTAAACATGTATATACACATACTTATCTAGAGAAACTGTACAATGGATGCAAATATCAAGTAGTGTAAATATATTGCAATATATACATCTCCCAAATAAAAGACAGACTCTCAATGAAACTGTTAATACATCTGAAGCATAAGAAGCTGAACTTTCTATCATTGTCTGTATCTACAGTCTCAAGATATACTTAAATAGAAGAATGTCAAAACTGCGACTGCTGCCGAGGATTATGCTATTGTAATAACACAGGGGAAAAAAGCTAAGGGGAGGGTGGAAGGAAAAATTCCAGATCCTATGGAACTGCATCATAAATAACTAACAGAACAAACCAAAAAGGAGGAGCAGCCAGAGCATGAACCTGCACCATACTGGATGCCCATGCTACAGCTGGGTGATTAGCTCGCTATACTACCGTGCTGGCTCCATTCAGGTAAGTAAATTAAACAAAAGCCACAGTCAGAACACCTGCATGAACCGTGGTCCTGTTGCTGCAGCTGAACTCTGTCTGAACTCCTGACAGCTTTCCAGGCTGCTTTCACGGTGCTCACCACCCTGCTGGGAAACACCCTGCTGGGAGACATGCTGCTGGGAGACACCCTGCTGGGAGATACACTGCTGGGAGACACCCTGCTGGGAGTCACCCTTCTGGGAGACACCCTGCTGGGAGATACACTGCTGGGAGACGCCCTGCTGGGAGACACGCTGCTGGGAGACACCCTGCTGGGAGACGCCCTGCTGGGAGACGCCCTGCTGGGAGACGCCCTGCTGGGAGACACGCTGCTGCACTACACTGTTTCTTCCCCTGCCACTTCCCAAATACACAAGTGACAAAGAGGATTTACAAAATAAGTGATGAAGAAAATAAATTATGCATGACCCCATTAAAAAACAAAAATACCTAAAGAAAATGTCTAGAATGTCCAGTCGGGTTTGGTAGAATCGGAATCTTTCCTGTTGTGACTGCTGCGATGGGATAACACGGCCCTAAACACAGTCCTAGGCTGGATCCAGCAGAAACCAGCAAGACAGCCCACGTGCACACATCACCTAGCATGGCAGTACTTCTACCATGGCATGCCACATTTTCATTCCTTCCAGTCTTGGGTCTAAGACCCCAGGATCGAATCACACAACACATCATCAAGATGAACCTGAACCCTGGATGCCTGCTATTTGATCTATACCCGCAGCAGCCATGGACACCTGCCTTACCACTGTGGCTGCCGCAGGGAAGGAAAAAGTGTAGCAGTCCCAATCTCCAACAGGAGACCTGAATGGGGCAGACACTGTGGCACAGCAGGTAAAGCTGCAAACTACCGTGCCATGGCCCCTCAGAGCTGCTCCACTTCTGATCCACCTCCCTGTTGGTGTGCTGGAAGAGCAGTGGGGATGGCCTACTGTTTAGGGCCTACACCCATGTGAGAACAGGCAAGGAGCTGCTGGCTCCTGGCTTCAGGCTAGCCAAGCTCTAGCCACTGCGGCTTGGGCCAGCAGATAGAAGACCTCTCTTCCCTCCCTGTAATTCTGCCTTTCAAACAGATAAATCTTAAAAAACAAAGTGTGACAGTGTCCCAACTTTTATAATCTTTGCTTTATGTGTTAATAAGCACCCGAGTGAAAAATCACAGATGAGCTAAGTTTTTATTAAACCACTCTAAATCTTTTCAGACAAAATATGAATTTGTTTCTAAAAAGACCACCAAACATGCATGCTTCTCCATTCTCTCACACAAGGCACCCCTTTCTTTTCCTGTTATGTGGCCTGACCCCAAAATTAGAACAATCAGCTTCTCCAGTTCTCAGAGATCATTTTCCACCTTACGTGGTATCTTGCTTCCTGTTACAGAGGCACCCAGCACTCTCCAGAGCCCCAGCTCTCACGGGCACCCAGCCTGGCAGACAGCTCCAACACGGGCCTAGTGAAGACTGAAAATGAACACCTGTTCCATCCCTGCTAATCAGGCCCACATCCTCACTCACCTGCACAACAGGCACATCATCAAATGCTTTAATAAAGTCTTCTTCGTCAACAGCACCAGCACCTTCTTTTGCAGCTGCAAAAAATACATACTGATTTAAAAATGCAGACAACAGAACATCCACTGCAAAAGTCTGAACCTACACAAACAAATTACAGTTTGGAAGGCTCATAAGTCTTTCTATAAAATATTTTTCATTAGTGCAGAGTACTGTGTAACTGACAGTTACTTGGATGGCCTCGTGCACTGCAACTAAGCTGCTGCTTGGGCCTGCACTCCACACAGCAGTGGCCATGAGGGAGGGAGGCCTCCACACAGCAGTGGCCGGGAGGGAGAGAGGCCTCCACACAGCACTGGCCCGGAGGGAGGCCTGCCTCCACACAGCACTGGCCAGGAGGGAGGGAGGCCTCCACACAGCAGTGGCCATGAGGGAGAGAGGCCTGCCTCCACACAGCAGTGGCCATGAGGGAGGCCTCCACACAGCACTGGCCCGGAGGGAGGCCTGCCTCCACACAGCACTGGCCCGGAGGGAGGCCTCCACACAGCACTGGCCGGGAGGGAGGCCTGCCTCCACACAGCACTGGCCATGAGGGAGGGAGGCCTGCACTCCACACAGCACTGGCCCGGAGGGAGGCCTGCCTCCACACAGCACTGGCCCGGAGGGAGGCCTGCCTCCACTGTGGGTGTGCACTGTGGGAGGCAGCGGTAGTGGCCCAGGTACACAGGTCCCTGCCTCCAGTTAGGAGATCCAAACGGAGCTCCTGATTCTCAGCATCAGCGGGGCCAGTTAGTATTGGTTGCAGGGGCCATTTATACAGTAAGCCAGTGGACAGAGGACTTCTATCACGCTACGCTACAGGTAAATACAAAGGAAGGAAAACGTAAAAAGAAAAGCAAAAGCACAATAACTGTACAATACCATATAGGTTCATTATAAGGCCGCTTAAAGAGAATACTTGGAGATTTTTAATTTTTTAAATTTTTTCTGGATGTTTACATAGTTGATTAAGGTGCGAAGGGTCAAGGGCGGAAAGTGGGTGAGACCATAGTGTCCACATTCTCTTTTCCCCTTCCTGTGTCTGGGGGGAAGGAGAGAGATAAGGAGAGAAGCCCCACCCAGCCTCCCCCATCCCAGGTCCCCGAGGTGGGGCAGGCTCCGAGGGTCCTGCCCGACAGTTCTGAACTGCTGTCAGAGATGATCTTTTAAAGCATGGAGAGCATAGGCTTAATGAATCTGAAGGATGTATATGGGGATAATGCATACAAGTTTTGAAAGGTTCCAAGTAAGCAGAAAATCTTAATTCTTCAGGGAATATTCACATTATTATCAGATATCCAGCACAAATTTGTGAAATAATAAAAGTTCTAAAACGAATTTAAATTTCATTTCATATTAGTCTCAAAAAAATTCCATTTTCTTGAACTCATGGTAACCTCAAATTTTCATATAAGAGTCAGCTACAGTTTTCCCTTACAATATTGTTTTAAAATGTAAACTTAAAAGTTTGTTGGGACTGGCATGGCCCTGCAATAGGTCAAGCCTCTGCCTGTGGCTTCAGCATCTCATCGGAGCTCGAGTCCCAGGTGCTCCACTTTGAGCTCCCTGCTGACGTGCCTGGGACAGCAGCAACATGGGCTGGGATTCCTGGCTTCTGGCTTCAGCCTGGCTCAGCCCCAGTCATGGCGAGTACTTAGGGAGAACACCAACAGATGTATGGTCTGTCTCAGTGTAAGTCACTAACAGGTTACAAGGATGATCGGAGACAGTAATTCTGAAAACATTACTGTAAAAGAATAAAAGCTGACAGGAGTGAATTACTTTGCTCTCATTCATGCTCACTCACTCTCTCCCTCCCACTTTCTCTGTAATTGTACATTTCAAGTAAATAAATTAAAAAAAAAAATCACCAACTACCTGCACCCTTTTCCCCTTCTCATTCCTGGCTTCCCTGTCAAGCCACCAGGCAGCGCAACCCGTCTGCCTTGTGTGTGTGAGCATGGCTGAGCATGGGTACGTTCCCAGAACACAGCCAAGCACCCCAACTCTCAGCCCTCCATGGGGGCTGTGCAGGCAGTGCAGGCCAGCTCTGTGGGTTTCACCAACAGGCCTGTCATCACAAAACACACGCATGTGGCAGAGGGGACAGGCTGAGTGTCACAGAATTAGTATTTCTGATTGTCCCTGTAACCTCTATTAGTGAGTTACACTTGCCACACATTTAGAAAGTTCTCTCATTTATTTATTTTTCACTCCACTTGAAAGGTGAAGCAGCAGAGTGAGAATAATAGAGGGCGCTCCGCCTTTCACTGCTTCAGTCTGCAAAGGGCCACAGCGACCAAAGCGGAGCCAGTCCCAAGCCAGGAGCCAGGAGTTTCCTCCAGGTCTGCCACGAGGCTGCAGGAACCTGAGGAGCTGCGTTCAGAAGGACTGGTAGGGATCTGGACCCTAAGTGGAGCAGCTGACAGCCAATCCGTTGTCAGCACGTGATGCTGGCTCTGCTCCAGTACACAACACTGCACTCTCCCCTTTTTCAATGTGAATTTTTAAGCTCAATAACAACCACCAAAAGTACTGCACTAAAAAAGCAAAAAACAAAAACCCACTTACAAGGAGCTAAGAACAAGAAGCCTAAAAAACCAAGTAACACTTCCCCCTTGTGCTGCCCCTGATGTGAAAGTGATGGACACTCCTCCACCAGAGATGCTGGAGTTGAGGAGGCAGGGGATACTACACGAACCTGGCCAAGACACCACCTGTCTAGGGCCAGTTCAGAATCCAGGCAAGGCCACCTGCACACAGCCTTCTAACCTCACACCAATCTCTTCCAGTTTTAGCCTGTCAAGTGGTGGCATTTGGGGTTCCAGGGTGGGGACTCCAACTTCCCCACCTCCAGTCTAGACTAAAAATCCAATGTTATCAGTGAGCACAACTATACAAACAGAGGATACAAACCAGAAAATATAGACAAAACTGTAAGGCTAGACAGCAAATAAGAACCATGGGCAAGACAAGCTGGCCAGGAGGGCCTTATGGGAGGTGTCTTGTAAGTCAATGGTCACAGACATGGAGAAATGTCTCCTACCGTTTATTTTATTCAACAAGGAACAATGGGACTCAGAATATTGTCTCAATAAACGGAAATTGCCCAAAAGGTCCTTTGATAGCTCTAGGCATTGCAGACTGCCAAACAATGCCATCACACGTAGTCCATTGACCTCTCGGAGCTACGGTGTGGACTCACACCCACAGCCTCCGCCTTGTAAGGAGGCCAAGTTAACACAGCAGCTCAGACTTGTGCGTGGGCTTATCAGTGGATGCACGCAGAAACACGCTGCCCATGAGACTCAAGCAGCCTCTGATGGACGACAGCAGTGACCACCACAGCACCACAGAGCCTGGTCCCACTCACCTGACGACTTGGAGCCCAGTCTGCGCGTGGGAGCCGTGCTGACATTTCTCCGAGAGCCTGGCGGCGCCTTGGATGATGTGGAGCTGGCAGAGGAAGGCCTGTTACCATCTACAGAGTCTTCATCGTCAAAGTTCTTATCTGCACAGCAGGCAAGAAATCTGTTAGAAATGAGCATGGTGTCGCGTGAACATAAAAGAGCAGCTGGCCTTACAGGTGATGTGGGTGTCCTACTCCGACATAGGACATGTGTCACAACACCACCCAAGAGCTGTCACATCCCTGTTTCGGATTACCTCTGGCCCTACTTATTTTCACTGTAAAGGCAGCTCTACGGAGGGAAGCAGATAAAGACCTTCCATCCATAGGCTCACTTCCCAAGAGACCACAACAACCAGGACTGAGCCAATCCAAAGCCCGGAGCCAGGAACCTCTTCCAGGTCTCCCACAGGATGCTCCCTGCTGCTTTCCCAGGCCACAAGCAAGGAGCTGGACGGGAAGCGGAACAGCTGGGACATGAACTGGTGCCTGTGAGGGAACCTAGGCATACAAGACGAGGATTTAGCCGCTAGGATATTATGTCATGAGCCTCTGACCATTATTTTTACAATATGATTCTATGAAATAATAGCTAAGATGAGAATATATAACTTATAGTCACTGCTTACTTCAGTTTTTCATTGTAATGATGTATTTGTCATAAACACCATTTAAACAGTTGGACATTACTTTGTAATTGGAAAATGCCACAACAGAAACACTCCTGTTAGATATATGTCTTATCATTAGACAAGAATCAAGATGGTGAACCCACTTAAACGGACGGAAAAACAGGATGAAGCAGAGAGGACATATTTCAGGAAATAGGAAAGGACAGAACAACAGCAGAGGGGTACCTGGAGACTGACAGACACAGGAAAGCAGCAGACACAACAGTGTGGTGTTGCAGTGACTGATACTCCAGCAGCATTCAGCTAATGGTGGATCTGAACTTCACCAGCAGCCAGAACTATACCAGCAACCAGATGGGAAGAAACTTTCACTGGGAGCTTGGGAGGTGAACCCAGATAAAAAACTGTCCGTCCTGCTGGTCCGTTTGATTTGACCAGGAGCAGAGACAGAGCAGCAGATCCCAGACGGGCAGTGAGAGAACAGGGTGGATTTCATAGCCCAGTCAGCCCCATAGAGCTGAATTGGGTGCCATTTTGTGTAAGGAGGTAAAGGACAAGGAAAAGGACTGAGCATAAACTGGGCTGGGAGTGAACTCATTTCTGACTCGGTGAACTGCAGTGACATGGCATCCTACAGGTTCCACCCAAGACAGGTATGGGTAGCCCTCAGATCTGATGGCCAGCAGATCAAGAACTGTAGTAGTGGTACGTCAGGCACCATTTTGCACACTGTGGCAATAGCTTTAGGACTGCAGGGGACAACAGTGAACTGCGCATATGCTGAGCTTGTGAGAATTCACTGAGTTCCATGGATTGCACTGATCTCACAGGAAAATAATACCGATTGTGGCATCTTACAGGCCAAAATAGATCCATGTGGCACCCGGACATAACATCCAACAGGTTCTGGAAAGATCAGCGCCACCAACAACCTAACTAGATAGGACACCTGGTGTCTCTCTAATCCTGGGACCTGCTCCAACGGAAAGTAGGAGAAAGGTTGCAGAGACAATGGTGCAGCCTCAGCATGGTATCACAGAAAGTGGAAAGAGGTACGGAAAGAGAAGCTGAGTTTGCAAATATATTTAATGAAATAAGGAAAAATTTCCCTAATCTGGAGAAAGAATTGCGAAACAAGATCCAGGAAGGGCACAGAACTCCCAACAGGCTTGATCAAAAGCGATCTTCATCAAGACACATGATTATCAAGCTCTCTTCAATCGAACATAAGGAAAAGATCCTTAAATGTGCATGTGAAAAAAATCAATTGACATATAAAGGAATGCCAATTAAACTCACAGGAGATCTCTCACAGGAAACTCCACATGCAAGAAGAGAATGGAGTGACATATTCCAGATTCTAAAAGAAAAAAATGTCGGCCTAGGATAACATATCCAGCAAAACTTTCTTGTCTTTGAAAATGAAATAAAATTCTTTCACAGTAAAGAAAACTTAAAAAGATTATGCCTCTTTCAAACCTGCCCTACAAAGGATACTTTAAGATGTTCTCTTGACAGAGAAGAGGAATAGCACTTACCAAAACCAAAGGCAAATGGGAAGAACATCCCAGTGAAATGACAACAGGAGACTAAACCAATGAACAACCCATTCCTAAAACGGCAGGATCAAAGTATCTGAATGTAAATGGCTTAAGCTCAATCAAATGTCATAAATTATTAGACTGGATTAAAAAACAAAACCCATCTGTTTATTGTCTGGAGAAGACAACTTCACCAATAAAAATCAGCAGTAACTATATCGCATGGGTTTTGTTGTTTTCTGTTGGTTTCATCTCTTCAAAACACTTTCTTCTGATTAAATCATTCAATGATTCATAGATCATACAGTGGCATCATTTTCTTCAAGAAGGTTCTTGATTTTCACTTCTTCAGCTACACGTTAGTCATTTAATAGCATGTTATTTAACTTCACGGTGTTGTTAATTTCTTTTTTCTCCCTGATACTGATTTTATTTTGTGGCTCTTCATTTAAGGGGATGTATAGTAGCTGTGTAATGGAGACTGTCATATCTACTAACATATCAGTTAATTTCATGGCAATGTAAATTTATATTTTTCTTTCTATTGTTGATTTTGTATTATGACTTTTCATTTGAGGGGATGTACAGTAGTTGTGAAATGGAGACTAACATCTCCAGATGTGAGGATGCAGTGTAGTATGTATTTCTGTTTCCAGACAAAGATGGACTTACAATGAAACTGTTTACTATCTCTTGACAATAGGATTCTGGACTCTCTGCCATTGTCCATGCCCGCAATGATGGACATATGACTGAGTATGAAGAACTGTATGTTAGTAATGATATAGAGGAACTAGGCGGGGGGGAGGGAATTGGGGAGGGGATAAGGGAATATGGAACTGTATCATAAAATGAGTAAAAATAATAAAATGTAAAAAAATAGATATATCTATCATTAGAAATAATTAGTATAACAAACATGCTTCTATATGCATTTTTTTATCGAATTTCAAGCAATTAAAAAAATGTTTAAAAGACTCTCGCAGTAGCTGTATTATTGGCCCAAGCAGCATAAAAGTGCTGCCAAGCTCACCTTCAGACAATCAGATAAAGGCACAGTTCTCCCGCCACCCCATCAGGAGTATAAAGCAATGCCATCCTGCCACACACTACCATCACTGAGCATTGTCACTTTTAAATTCAACTGATTTGGGGCCTGGCGGCATAGCCCAGCAGCTAAAGTCCTCTCCTTGAAAGCGCCAGGATCCCATATGGGCGCCAGTTCTAATCCCAGCAGCTCCACTTCCCATCCAGCTCCCTGCTTGTGGCCTGGAAAAGCAGTCGAGGAAGGCTCAAGTGCTTGGGTCCCTGCCCTCACATCAAAGACCCAGAAGAGGCTCCCTGGCTCCTGCCTTCAGTCCAGCCCAGTGCCTGCGGTTGTGGTCATTTAGGGAGTGAACCAAATAACACACACTCATTCTCTGAACTCTCTCAAATAAAAACATTATAAAATAATAATAAATGACTGAGCTCTGTGAGTTCCACTGGTATTGATATTTAGCTTTGGGGAAATATTAGCAAGCTCCCCTAGCTCATGACTTGATGCCCAGGACAGTGAGCGAGGCTTGTAAACCCCTAAACCCAGCTACCTGCTACCACAGCAAGTAAGCAGAGACCCCTAAACCCATAGCAAGTAAGCAGAGACCCCTAAACCCAGCTACCTGTTACCACAGCAAGTAAGCAGAGACCCCTAAACCCAGCTACCTGCTACCACAGGAAGTAAGCAGAGACCCCTAAACCCAGACAGCTCTGTATGCAGTGACTGTACACCTACACAGCTTACCAGCACAACAGGCATGTGGATTTAATCATGACTCTGCACCATGAAACTCGGAGCCAATTATTTCTCACGTGACCGGCTCACTAATGAAGAAAGTAGTTTCTTGTGCTATCTCTAGTGGAAATTCAGGCAAACATGGGGGAAAATCATATATCTATTTCCCAAATCAATAGGTAGGTAATCTGCTTTAAATGGTGAGGCACTTTAATTGAAAAGGTATTTATTTAGAGGATAAACACCAATAAGCCTTTTATTTACAAACATGGTGCTTACAAATAAACTTAGAAGTCTTTCAGCTTTTTGGACAACTGGAAACTACACAGTTACACTTAACTGGGGAAACTGCTTAACTAGGCATACAAGTTGCATGTGCAACTGGCCATGATCACACAACAAATCTACAATCAGGCCAGGATGGGGTACTCCTAGCCCCGCTTCTAACACCTTCTGAAAGGACACTAGAAACCTGAAAAGCACTGCCGCTAAATTCACCTTTCCCTAGGCTTTCCAGCCAAGCAGACACAATGTGCATGACCTTTTATTTTTCCTAGAATATTCAGACAAAAAACTGAAAACGTTTTCAGAGAGAAAGGGAGTGAAAGTGAGCACTTCCCTCCCCAAGTTCACTCCCTAACTGCCACCGTGAGCAAGCCAGGGCCCCGCTGACGCCAGGACCTGCGAAGCCAATGCAGTGTCTGTCCCTCGTGCGTGATAAGGACATGACCACCTGGGCCGTCACCTGCTGTCTTCCAGAGTGAGCAGCAGCAGGCAGCTGCAGTAGGAAGTGGGGATGAACTTGAATCCAGCACTGCCTTATGGGACACAAGTGTTAAAATGGGTGGCCTAATTGCTAGGCCAAATGCTAGTCTGAAAACAAGCTTGTGCCATCACACCTATGGTCAGGCTTTCTCATACAACCCGTTACAGAAGGTTCAGATCCCCACTTGTGGGCCGTGTCTCTCACCAGACCATCTGCACAGAAACCTGCTAGGAACTGCAGCCATCAGTGCTCAGCCAGTCACGTGGACTCTACTGCACCAAGACACTTCAGACATTTCATTTCAAAGGCACAAAAGAGCAAGAGGTTGACTTCCCAAATTCCTGCACCAGCCAGGTCTGGGCCAAGCGAGGACCACGAGCCTGGAACTC